TCAAAATAAAAGTCCCCCCATTAACAAAAACCATGCTCAATTCATCAATTCACAATAGTGCCCATTGAGCCGTTATCTGATCAAAATCTCAAAATAATCCTGATTAATTCATACAGAAACCACAATTTAAAAAAAATTTCAAAGATAAATCAGGATATCTCATTCATTCCGAATTGTGAATCAGACATAAATGTTAACTTGAGATTACGTCAACGATCGCTTTAAGTCTGAGATCTGAGAAGTTGAAATATTTTTTTTTGCGATCCCACGTGTGACATTGGTCGATTTTGCGCAACTGACAGATAAAAAAAGAAACTATCTTTAACATCACTATCAATATATTCTTATTCTAAAAGAACTAATTACACCCAACTAAAACATATTAGGAACACATTTTATCAATTTGCATATCAACATTCTGAGTGGGAGGAATGTAAACATTGTAGTACATCTTTTGGTAATAATTTCTCATTTCTAAGAAACTTATGACAACCAACCAAAATTATGAACAACTAGTTTACTCTGTAGTAGTTTCTTCAAGGGATACAAATAATCTTCTCAGCAATCTGCGTTGGGGGAAATGTAAACATTGCAGTACATCTCTGTAAGAGTAAGTGTTTACCTTCTGTTGAAGAAAATCTATGAGTTTAGTTTGCTGTGCAATGGTTGCTTCATGCCTTGTTACCAGCTCAGACATAATTCTAAAGAAGAGCGTATTATACAGGGGTGGTCATGAATATTGAAAAAACAAACAAAACTAGAATACCGAAGGAGTGTTCACTGTTCAGTCCAAAAGAGGTTCATAGGTTCAGAACCTTCCTTTGGAAACTTAAAGCCCCCCCCCCCCCCCCCTTACAATGGACAAAATACCCCTGGAGATCGTTTACGATAACTTTCCAGTGACCCAATATTTTAAAGTGAGTGCCCGGACCACTACGGTAGGACCCTTAAATCATTTGTTTAGTAAAAAATAACGAAAATATCGGAGCTTTTCTGACTTGAATCAATAGTTTTACATACCGTACATTTTCAGAACAAATCCGTATATTTTTTGGGGAAAAAATCTGTACAAACCGTACATTTTTGGGGAAAAAATCTGTACGGTACAATCCGTACATTAAAAAAAATCCGTACAATTTTTGAAATACGTTAAAACCGTACATTTAAGAAAAATAAAACCATGTTTGAAAAAACACATCAAAATTCAATTCGTCTTCTTCAATTTTTCATTCATTGTCCTTAGTAAATTAGGATGAGAATGCGAGGAGAAACAAGTAAATTAGGATGAGAATGAGAGAAGAAACTAGTAAATTAGGATGAGAATGAGAGGAGAAACAAGTAAATAAGGATGATAATGAGAAGAGAAACAGGAAAAATACACATTTAAAATCTAAAAATCTATAATTATGGTATTTAGTCTTTTACTTCTCTTCATTAGGATGGGTTTCCTTGTTTGCTTGAAGCTTTTTAAAAAAACTTATTTTTGATCAAAAATCAATATTCTCGAAAAAGTATGAATACATTTTTGTTATCAATTGAAACAACAATCAACCTAATATTTTTTTAGAATGCAGAAAATAAGTTAAACTAACTTCAATTTAACGAGATTTTTTAATAAAAATTTTAATGCAAAATTTGCTAAAAAGAGTAAAAAAAGGTGTATTTCCAAGCTAAAAATCCGAACAACTTGAAAAAAATCCGTACAATCCGTACATTTTGGCCACCCTGAAACTTAACTCTTTCCAAGAAAAACGATATCTTTCTTGTTGCTAATCAGATTTGAGTGTGAATCAGACCCTTGAAATAAAACTCATTGGAAAATACATCAATCTTTTAAATTTGACATAATAAGCATTAAAGTTATAATTTTCTCAATCTACCTTGAATCTGTCTCTATTTTGAGATGTATTTCATCAATCTGTTGATTCTTCTGTTCTATCTTCTTAATTGCCTCCTCAATACCATTGGTCAGCTTGAAGTTAGACTCCTTGTGACTGTGCAGTTGGGTCGTCTTCTCTCCCAATTCAATCTGAAACAAAACAAAAATTTCTCAGGAATTGTATCTTTTCAAAATATCAATTTACCCTCATTACTGTTTGGACAAACAAATAAAAGGGGCTTTCCAATTCCATCCCTGAATTTCAAAACAACGGGGAAAATGTTGTCCGTTCAATTCCCAAAGTCTTCCAGCAAAGTATGCACCCCTAAGGTAATAAGGCAAGGAAAGTTAATTGCGGTTGAGTATTCTCAGCGTACATATTGAAACCAGTTCTCTTTGAGCAATATTAGTAAACAAGAATAGATGCAGCAGTCTTTAGTATCCGAGGAGGATAAATGCATTTAATTTTGATAATTTTGATCATTCAAATATTAGTTTCCTATGACTAAAATATTTCATTGATTTTTTATGTGCAAAATTAATCCCATGTCAGGCTATGACATCCGTCTTGTGTTTACTTTACCGCCCAGAGACAGTACACTGCAGTACTAAGAATGCGTACACCTCTGAAATAACTATCTTGACATTATAATTCTTTGCCCTGATCTAACAATTAACAAGCAATTGTTAAGGGTTCCTAGTTAATCCTCAAGAAAACAGAGGAATGAATATTAATATTGAAAACACCTTTATCAATTTATTTACTGCTCAAATATGGAAATAAGTAATCCAAATAGATGACAATTTTTGCAGTGTGTAATTTAAAAAATTTGTATTTGAAAAATTTACCTATTACAGAAAGTATGTTTGAACCAAATTAAAAATGAAGGAATGATCTGTTACCAAGAAATTATTGTTATTATCAATAATCATTAAAAAAGTATAACTAACCTTAAGCTGACTATTTTCATATTCCAAACTTGATTTAAGTTTTTCTAAACTATTTCCAGTTTGTTCCATTTTCATATTTTTACCAGTCAGCTCCTCCAGGGCGCCTGAAGTGCAAATACATTTTTTTAGAGGGAGAGTACGCAAAATAAAAGTCCACCAAGAGATAAATAACAAATGAATTAAAGAAAGATAATGCAGTTCTTCCAGCGTCTCGACAACTTCCAATCAAACAGCGTTGAAAAATTTAGTGCTCGGTAGAAATCAATCAGTCAATTGTCTTAAAACAAAATAAGTAATCCAGATTAATTCATAAAAAAGTACTGCATGCATATCTTTCCAAATCAGGCCGCTCCTTATTATTAAAAAGGAAGTAAACAATATTCGCATTGAGATAAATTGTCAACTAACCAGATGGTTAATTTTAAAAACATTTTAATTTTCTTATAAAAGTTACAAATAATGCATGGTGAGAGTATCACACCTGAAAGCTTCTTGCACAATTCCTTATACTCAGATAGATTCTTTTCATAAACTTCTTTCTCCTGTCACAACAAATACCATTGAAGATTAGACTTCATAATATTTTTGCTAATAGTTGGGTTTTACCACATAAAACGCAAGAAAGGAAAAAAAGACTCATGTTCTTAGTAAGCGCTGACATGTTTTTTAAAAGCGATTACATGTTTTTAATAACCCCTTACATATTTTTAATAACCCATGGCATGTTTTTAATAACCCATGGCATGTTTTTAATAACCCATGGCATGTTTTTAAAAGCCCCTTACATGTTTTTAATAACCCCTTACATGTTTTTAATAACCCCTTACATGTTTTTAATAACCCATGGCATGTTTTTAAAAGCCCTTACATGTTTTTAATATCACATGACATTGCTCCAAATATTGCTTTAATGATATTTTGTAGAGAAGTAAGATGTCCCTCAAATAAAAAGTAGTTAAAACAAATTTGAAACAAACACCCCTCCCCTTCTCAAAACCATAATATTTGTCCCTCCCCCCCCCACCCCCTTATCCAGAGCTATATGTTTGGTTTGGTATTCTGCCTTGTTAGCTTGTTTCTCATAGTCTTCCAGCTTCTGTTCCATTGTCTACAGGAGCGAGATGATTAAGATATTAGATCAAATAAAACCCAAAAAAATGTTGAGATTTGCAAGTCCAGCTTTCAAGTTTCATATAGATAGATAAATACTAAATAGATAATTACTTGAGAGTAAGATGGATATATTAATATATAGATATATCACGGCGGACTAGGGTAAATATGAACTCAAACCGGACCGGTCCCTTGTACCTAGGTCGGGGCACGTTCCATTTTTTTCTAGCCGTTTTGTTTACAGTTAATTTCAACCGTAAAAAAATTAAAATTTCAGTTAGCCGTTAATTTTAAAGGTCAACGGAACATTCGTTCCGTTAACGGAACACACATTCCGCTTACGGCATTTACCGTTTTTTTATTACCGTTAGTTAACAATCTTAATTTTATTAACAGCGTTAACGGAAAATTATCAACAATAGTAAACGGCTCTAGCCGTTAATGGTACCATTATTTCAAAATTAACACCATTAATGGTGCAAAATGATGAAAAAAATATCGTTAACGGCCTGTGCCGTTCCGGTTGATTACAGTATTACCGGCAAATAACATTTTATCGACGGTTTATAAATACAGAAGACAACATTTAAAAACATCAAATGCGTAAATTTTTTTCTTTCATAAAAAAAATTCATGCAATCTTACATGAACGAAATTTAGCGTTTTTAGCTTTTAGTTCACACTTTTAACCGTTTTTTTCAAAACAGCTAATTCGTTTCGTTAACGATTTAAATTATCGGTTTTTGCAGTTCGTTAACTGACTCTTTCGTTTATTTTCGAAAACCTCCATTTCGTAATTAAGTCAGCTCAGGATCAAATTCTAATGCAAACAGCACTGAATAACCTCTATGACTGGTCAGTCAAGTGGGGGATGAAATTCAATGTGAGTAAATGTAAAATTATTCACATGGGAAAAAATAATCCACGCTATGAATACCACATTGGAGGGGGAAACTCCAATCAGATACAAAGGAAAAGGACATTGGAGTGCTAATTAATGATAACTTAAAACCGAGTTTGCAGTGTCAGAAAGCAGCAAACACAGCTATGGCTGTTCTGAACCAGATCCTGAGGGCTTTCACCTACAGAGATAGAACTACATATATAAATCTGTACAAGATATATGTAAGACCTCATCTTGAGTTCTCCTCTCCAGTCTGGAATCCATGGTTAACTTCAGATGTTGAAAGGTTAGAAAATGTCCAGAAAAAAGCTCTAAAACAGGTTATGGATTACAAGAAACCGATTATCTAACAAGGGTAAAAGAACTTGGTCTGACTACACTGGAGGAGAGAAGAACATACACCGATCTTGTACAAACATACTAAATCATACATGGAAAAGATGATGTGGACAGAAAGATTTGGTTTGAGCTGTATGGTGACACTGAAAGGAGAGTAACCAGAACAAGTGAACAGTCCCTTTGTATAGTAGCTTCCAGACCCAATTTGGATATAAGAAAACACTTCTTCTCTAATAGAATAGTTCAGCAGTGGAATGCACTACCTGATAGCATCAAAAATGCAAGAAATGTCAAACAGTTTAAAAACATGTATTTGAGCCAAGTGCCCCTACCCAGATGAAGTAATCTGTCAAACCTCTGCTCTCGGAAATGGTATGGGTCACCAGTAAAGCTGACACTTCTTCCTTGGATCAAAATGGTCCCTTAGAAGTTCCTCTTCAAGTAAACAAGTAAACAAGTAAACAACGGAACTTTGCCCAGTCCTACTTGTACCAGCTTAGTGAAGCGCTACACGTACCGGCCCGACCCTATTCTTTACCAGCTAGGTTTAAACTTTGATGGCGCGGCAAGACTTCTTACAGTGCCCTGCCTATCATAGGTCTATTTGACCGACCCTTCTAGCTTAGTTTAGTGCGATATAAATGGATAAAGAATTAATAAGAAGATGCTAAGATTGATTGGTAATCGATAGATTTATGACGGATGGAATATCAAGAAAACTATTTTCAAATTTAATTTCATCTTTTCCTTCAGTTTCTTTTCTGTGAAGAGTTTAACACTTTTCTCCTCGTTGACGGCAATCTTAACCTTCCTTGAGTCCTCCTGAATACAGGCAATAAATAAATTATTAAATAATACATCTTTTCTCCTCGTTGACGGCAATCTCAGGCAATAAATAAATTATTAAATAATGCATCTTTTCTCCTCATTGACGGCAATCTTAACCTTCCTTGAGTCCTCCTGAATACAGGCAATAAATAAATTATTAAATAATACATCTTTTCTCCTCGTTGACGGCAATCTTAACCTTCCTTGAGTCCTCCTGAATACAGGCAATAAATAAATTATTAAATAATACATCTTTTAACCAGGGTTGGAAAAAACCCGTATTTTTTTTCAACAAAATTAATTGTTTTTTTGGGGGTTTTAGATAAAAACGAGATTGTTAAAAAACAATAATTTGTTTCTTTCAAAAAACACAATAAACCCCAAATAAGCCCACTAAAGTGGGTTTTATTTTTTTGTGTGGTTTATTTGAGTCCTCCTGAATACAGGCAATAAATAAATAAATAAATATTTTTGAATAATTCATCTTTTTAACGGTTATCTCATGGTTATTAGCAATCCTAACCTTCCTTAAAGGGAGTGTTCGCGAAAAATGAAAGGGGTATAGGCTTACGGCGAAAAATAAACGCTTTTGATTGCTACTAATCTATTTCTATCTGTTGCGTCTATAAGGAGAAAATTATTAAAAACGACTCATAACGAAGAACGTAGTGTCCATACAAATTCAGAAAGATGCAACACTCAACTCGGATCGTAAACATATCAATTTAACTCCCAACAAATTATTCAGATATTACAAACAATAGTCATCGATTATTTTTCATAATTGATATTTAAAAATATTTCTTTATTTTTCATGATCTGAGAGTTACTTTTGAAAAAATTTATTTCATTTAAAAAAAGCAAAAATATTAAAAAAATAATCGTTAACTATCGTTTGTAATATCTGAATGATTTGTTTAGAATTAAATTGATTATTTACGATCTGAGTTGAATGTTGCAACTTTCCGAATTTGTATGAACGCTACGTTCTTCGGTACGAGTCATTTTTAACAATTTTCTCCTGATAGACGCAACAGATAGAAGTAAGATTAGTAGCGATCAAAAGCGTTTATTTTTCGCCGTAAGCCTATACCCCCTTTCATTTTTCGCGAGCACTGCCTTTAAGTCCTCATGAATACATGCATTACATGAAGGAATTTCTCACTTCAAAAAAAAAATCTAATAAACCAAGGCTGGGAATATTTGTGTTGGATGTCTATAAACACGAAATCCAGGGGAAAAACTTAAAAATGACTTAAATCAAAATCCTTAAAATGAAAATCTAACGACGGGGGTGAATATTTTCTCGAAGAATCATTTCCCCCTTTAGAAAATATGTATGTTTGAGCAAAGCGCAAAATTTTTTAGGGTTTCATTTTCCCAATTTAACCTGTGACCTCTGATGTGTACCTGAACTAAGTCCACTTTAGAGATAAGTTCTCTCTTCTCGGCCTCAAGAACCTGGACTCTGTCCTCCAGGGACTCTGCAGCAGACTCGAACTCTGTGACCTGACGGTCCAGGTCTTCACAAAGGCCTTAAACATTATTTTTGTCAATTTGCAAAAAAATTAAAAACTACTAAATTAAATGGTTGGTTTCAGAAAAACTGTAGAATACTAGAGCGGATATAAATACTAAATACTAAAAAACAAAACTGCTATTTATCAAGAACAATAAAAAAAAGTGGAAACATCAATTCCAAGATTTGTTAGAACCATTTTTGAAGCAAAAAAATGTATTCAAATTCTGAAAAAAATCTGAAAATCTCTGGTTTGATTTAATACAACACCTTTAAGAGCATCGTTGTTGATCTGGATAGATTTGAACTTCTCCTTTTCCTCGGAAAATCCTTGGATCTCCTTCTCCAGTCTTTCAATCCTCCTCTCATATCCTTGGAACATTTATTTAGTATTTTTTTTTATTCTATGTGTATAATTGTCTATCTATTCGTCTGTCGTGAGTCCTGTCCTTCTGACCATATCTATCCATCCGTACATCTGTCCACCTTTCCGTCTGTCCATCTACGTATGAAAGTCTGTCCTCTAGCACCTGAGGGGGGGGGGGGGGCACGAGTCCCAATGCAGAATGAATAGAAAAAATGGCAAATATCAATATTACAGGGATAAGAAATCTAATAAAGATATTGGAGAAATTATACAAGCTAGTTTTTAAAAATATTCTTATCTTTCTCAATTAATAATGCTAAAGGCTATTGTAAACATTTAATGTAAAAAAAGTTCCAAACTGTATTGTATTGACTTTTGTTATTTTAAAGAGTTCAAACTCTACAGAATATACTGATCTAAGTTCATAATATAACTGTGCCGGTATTTAACATGTTATAAGTATGACAAAGAGAGCCTGCCTCTTAAATCTTTAAATAAGTGAGAGTTTTTCCAGATTTTTGCCACAAACTCTGATATTTTTTTCCCTTTATCTTTGCAACCCAATGTCGTAGATTTCAAACTTTGAATTCTTTCGGTAAAATAATCTAAGTTTGAAATATCAAAGGTTTACACCACTCGGTGCTAAGATTTAGGGGTTAGTATATTCGAGTTTGTTCCAAATCTAGAGAACATTCTCAACCTGGCAAATTTCTAATTGATTTTCATTTTTAATAACTGATAAGGATTATCTTCTTTGACAGAAATTCTATAAAATCTAAAATGACATATTTGCATCTGTTTTATACTGACTTGAGATTATTTATAGGTTAAATGTATTTAAATGTTTTTTAAGAAAATATAAGTCATTATTTCTTGTAATTAAATCTGTAGTTAAACCATATGGGTACTTAACAGATTTTATTTTGCGCTTCGCGCTCACATTCAACGAAATTAACTCAAATCGTTGATTTTACAGCTGTTGAAAGTATACATTTTTTAACAACCAGGAACAAAAATCTATTTGAATTGAGCACATTCAAATCTGGATAAAACATCTGAAAATTTCCTTTTTTTGACTTCAACAAATACTTAAAAAAGCACTTTTTTTAGTTTTTTAAATTTTTTTTTTTAATATTTTGCCCCTCCCTACCAAAAGTGCTAGTTGCGCCTCTGCATCTATTTGTCCATCAACGTCTGTCAGTCTGTTTGGCCTGATATCTATCCATCTGTCCATCTACGTCTGTACGTCTGTCCGCCTGCCTGTCTATCTGTCTAACTGTCCCTCTGTCCGTCTAATCATTTCTCCAACCATTCATCTGTCTGTATTTCTATCAGCCCATTTTAAATCTGTTCATCCTTTCGTCTCCCCACGTTAATCATGGTGTTCCTTTATTAATTCTATATCGTCCCTGTATAGTCCCTATACCGTTTCTATATCTTCCCTGAATAGTTCCAATACCGTTTCAACATCGTTCCTGTATAGTCCATATACAGTTCATAAATCGTCTTTGTACAGTCCCTATGCCGTTCATAAATCGTCCTTGTATTGTCCCTATACCGTTCATAAAACGTCTCTTCATAGTCCATAATCCGTTCGTAAATCTTCCCTGTATAGTTCCTATAACGTTCATAAATCGTCCCTGTATAGTCCCTTTGCCGTTCAGAAATCATCCCATTACCGTTCATAAATCGTCCAATGTCTGGCTGTTTCTACCTGAAACCTCAGTCTCCAATCTCCGTTTCTCCATGGATATCTCCAACTTCTGCTGTTTTATCTTCTCCAGGTCCTCCTTCATCTTTTCCATCTTCTCATTGCTCCTCTCCAAACCCTTCACCTCGAGATCCAACCTATCCTTCTCTGCCTTTATATCTCCCAGCTCCTTCTCTGAAAATAAAAGATACGGTAAAACGTAATTTAAAACAAACCTCAATGCAACGAGTCAACATTCTTTGAAATTAAGGAAAAGTCAATGAGCCAAAATAAATACCATTTATTAAATCAATCAAGTTCAGGCATTACTCCCTATTTTTAGAAAGTTAAACTTATTTTAATTCAACAGAATCAGCGTTAAATGTTAATACATAAATATGTTCTACTTTTGTAGTCGATCCGTAGACGTGAAACTACTTTACAAACAGTGGTTATATCTAATATCTATACAATAAAGACGCTTAGTATGTAAAAGTTTTGATTTCCAACAAGCTTTTTTCAAATTACTACAAGTAATCAGAGAAGCTGTTTCTTTTAATGTTTATGTATCCTTGCTGTTTGAAAGCTGGGAAAAAATTTAAATCGAAAGTCAACTTTATTGTATTAATAAGTACGAATTTTGAAATTTAAAGTCAACATTATTGTATTAATAAGTGCGAATTTTGAAATTTAAATTAAAAATGTGATAGGTTATGGATCAAAAGAAAGTAGGCAGAAAAATACCTTGAAAAATATTAATTACCTAGCTCCGATATTCTGGTCTCCAATTCGGTAATCTTCTCCTTAGATTTATCCTCCTTCTCTCGGTAATATTTTACTAAACAAAATCTTGAATATACCTTTAATTTCAGAGTAGGTAATGAGCAGAAGACGGAAATAAAATCGCCCAAATGAAAAAAATCATTAACGCACAGAAGACGGGTTTGGATTAGTCCGATTACGGTGGCACATTTACAATTACTATGTACAACTATAAGTTGCTAAATCAATCTGTGTTCTCAGCTCCCCGTCCCTAATTCTGGCCACAGCACTCGGTCCCCTAGCCGTAGCACACGAAATAGAAACTTGATCAACCTTATCTAATCCAACATTTTTTTAAACACAATATACTTACTCAGGGAATGAATTCAAGACTTCTACGAACGTCCTACTTCTATATTTTAAACTCGACATGACTATACTAAATCAAATCAGACTTCTAGGGACGTCCTACTTCTATATTTTAAACTCGACATGACTATACTAAATCAAATCAGACTTCTAGGGACGTCCTACTTCTATATTTTAAACTCGACATGACTATACTAAATTAAATCAAGTGTACCCCAAACACAAAAATAAAATTACCTATTCCACTCTTTTTCTCAGTTTCTCTCTTCTCTATCCTAAGATCCAGCTTGACCTCTCTCAACTCCTTCTCCAGTATCATCACCTTCTCCAGCAACTGAACAAAAAACAAGATTAAAGGGACTGTAAGCGTAAATTTAAAAAAAAGGCAGTGCTCGATTTACAACGGTACCCTTAAAACTAAAAGCGTTGTCCAATCAAGTATAAATTAGACAACTGTGTTATAGTTTCTTAAAACTGTTTATTATCCTTAGGTTTCTTTAGGCTTTCCTTGCTTATAACAAGAGCAGTTAAGAAATTATCGGAATGAAACACTTAAAGAAAATTGGGCATTGTCATTTTGGCATGAAGGGTCACTTGAAATTACACTTCCAGTTCTTTTGAAGGGGGAGGTGTCTAATGATGGAAAGAAAATTTATTCAAATTTTAGATGTGAAACAAGTTTACCAAGGTCTCAAGATTTCAACTCAGGATTTTTGTAAATGATGCAAAAACAGAAAATAAAGATTCAAGCGTAGCCTATTTGGTTATCATTTCATTACACAAAAATAAATATTTCTACCTCTGTAGATTCCGCTTCAGCTTCCTTCTCTTCTTGAATAGTTTTCTCAAGTTCTACTTTCTTCTGCTCAATCTAAACATTTTCACCAGGGGGTCAATCATAACTTTTAAACAAGATTTTTTCTTCAATGTTAGAATTTTGTTTACTGCCGGATTTGATTTCTTAAATTACAGAGTTACCCAAAAAGAATGAAACAGACGATATAATCAATGTGTTATAAAAATTTTTTTCAAGAAACAATTTTTTTCTTCTTCAAAATTCGATTTTTTAAAATTACAAGGGCAATGCCGGGCCCTTCAGCTAGGTAGATTTAAAAAGAGTTTACTGTAAAGAATATACTTTTTGAATTATCTTTTCTACACCATTTTTTTAAACTTAAAGAAAAATAATAACTTCATTTAATCATATTAAAAGAGTTTTAGAACTCCACCCCCTTAATTCTCATCAATTGTGGGTAATCCCTGAATCTATCATTCATTTAGAGAAATTAGACAATTATACAATCGTTGAAGTATGTTACCTCAACAATTACAACCTCGCAATCCTTAACCTTCCCCTTGAGCTCGGTATTCTCCTTCTCCTGCTTCCTCACCACCTCCTTCAACCTGTCTTCCTCCCTCTTCTTCTCCTCCACCAGGTCCTCCAACTTTTCCAGCTTCTCTTCCAGCTCTAGGACCTCCTTCCTGCCCTTCTCCTTCACCTCCTCCCGCCTCTTCTTCTGCAGATCATCGATCTTAGCCTGGACAACCAACAATTCAAATATCAATATTCAGAAGTCAAGATCAGGGGTTGTAAACTTGTAAATTATTTGGACGCCAAATAACAAGATTTAAAATGCTTTAAACCAAAAAATGCATCCATTTTCCCAAAATTAAAAAAAAGGAAAACAAAATGATTCCTGCAGAATTCGGTGTACAACTTTTGGCGAAAATAAAAAAAAATTGCATACCGAGAAATATCCAGGAGAAAACGAAACAACAAGCATTAAGCAACTGTTTAAAATTCTTTCTTTTTTTAAACTTAAAAGTTGTATGTATCAAGGAGTCTTCAATTTAAATATAGATAACCAGAGGCCGAGACTTCACCAGGCCACCTTATAAATAACTTTAAATTGCATTAAAGGTTAAGTTAACCTCTCAGAGTTAAGTTAAAATCTTAAGATTAAGTTTACTCTTAGGACTAAGACAAAGTTAAACTCTTAGGATTAAGTTAACTCTTAGAACTAAATTAAAATATTAGGATTAAATAAACTCCTAAGATTGGGTTAAGTTGTTAGGGCTAAGTTGAACTCTTCAGATTAATTTAAACTCTTAAGCTTAAGTTAAACTCTTAGGGTCAAGTTAATCTCTTAGGATTAAGTTATACTCTTAGGATTAAGTTAAACTTTTAAAATCAAGTTAAACTCTTACAATCAAGTTAAACTCTTAGAATCAAAATAAACTCTTAGAATCAAGTTAAACTCTTAGCATTAAGTTAACTCTTAGACCTAAGTTAAAATATCAGGATTAAGATAAACTCTTAGGATTAAATTAAACTTTTAGGATTAAATTAAACTATTGGTTTCCTGAAGAGTTTCGAACACTTTCTCTAATTCTTTAATTTTATTCTTCCAATCCTCCTCCTTCTCCTGGAACTCCTTCTTCAACCTGTTCACCACCTTATCCTTGTCTAGATCCTTCTTCTCCAACACCAGGTTTAGCTTACCAATCTCCTTGGTCAGGGTCTGCTCATTAGCTTTCCCACTCTCAACTTGGTCTCTACACATTCAAATATGTATCAATTATTTTAAATATTATTTAAAATGAAGTTTAGTACAATTCTATTTTAGTAGATCATCTTTCAGACTGGATCAATTAAAGGGTGTCCCACATCATATTAGATCGTCACATGGGTCTAAATTACGATTTTCGGGACTGATCAGAAAATTTAAGAAGAATAATTTTGCACAAATACATAAGGCTAATATAAAAATTTCCTTGCAGAAAATGCTCGGTTTTTTGAGTTTAATATGTTTATTTTGGCGTAATAGCTTAAGGAGATAGTCTAATATGATATGGGACGCTCTGTATATACATTTACCTTCCAGATCTTATTAGGATTTCATTTATGCAATATACAATCCGAAGATCGTACTGCCGCAGAAATGCTTCAAAGTTGCCTCGCCTTGACTAAACTCAAAAAAACTAAATGCCCCTTCCCTTAGAGACTGCACATTTTGGCATAATAAACTATAGTTTTTATAGCATTTTAAGCATGTATTTTCAGGATTTTAACATGGACCAGCAAAATTAGGCTTTTAGATTAGCGAAATTCAATAAAAATGGTTGCATACGAAAAAAAAAGTTTTTTAATAAGGAATGTGTATTGATTAAGAAATAGAAACCAATACCAACTTTAATCGATTCTCCGTGAAACTGACCAAACACACAAACAACAACTATAATTCCGTAGAAGGCAGGGCTGAGACTTGGTTAAAAATAACCGTAAATACGATTATTTACTTTGAATATTATCAATGCTTAGGATCCATTTAATTTTGATGCGGATCCGGATCCGCACTGGAAAAAATGGATCCGGATCCAGGTCATTTCTTTCAGATTTACTGATTTTTTTTATAACTTGATGAACCATTCAGAAATGAGGAAATTTTTATAATCTCTCTTTTTTCAGCAGTTCAGATTTGACATTTAGGAGTAAAATTTTTTTGGGGGCAGTTTTTGGTTGATATTTTACCCCTTGGATCCAGATCCAAAGCACTGAATAATATGGTTTATGATGGTTTATGATACTATCTCCTACCTTAATGTTGCTATTTCTGATATTGCCTCGGTCAACTCAGTTCTCATCTGGACCACAGTTGTATTCACCTAGGACAAATAGGGAACTTACATTAAAGGGACAAATAGGGAACTTACATTAAAGGGAAAAATAGGAAACTTGCATTAAAGGGACAAATATGGAACTTACATTAAAGGGACAAATAGGAAACATACATTAAAGGGAAAAATAGGGAACTTACATTAAAGGGACAAATAGGGAACTTACATTAAAGGGACAAGGGACAAATAGGGAACTTACATTAAAGGGACAAATAGGGAACTTGCATTAAAGGGACAAAAAGGGAACTTACATTAAAGGGACAAATAGGGAACTCATATTTAAGGGACAAATAGGGAACTTTTAAAATTCAGTGATGGTGATGGACCAAACCTCTGTAGAGTAAAAAAGTAGATGTTAGTTCCACATTTATTGAAAATATATTTCGGTCTGGGTTGACCCTCGTCAGTTCTAACGATATAATAACCATCAAAATCGATAAAAAAAAATAAAAAAATGTAAAAACCTTTTAAAGAATTGGACATAAAAAACTCTTTTTTAAAAACATACTGAATTACAGTTAACAATTAAAGAAAACTATTTTTTTCTGTTCATTAGGGAACTTACATTAAAGGGACAAATAGGGAACTTACATTAAAGGGACAAATAGGGAACTTGCATTAAAGGGATAAATATGGAACTAACATTATAGGGACAATAGGGAACTTACATTAAAGGGACAAATAGGGAACTTACATTATAGGGACAATAGGGAACTTACATTAAAGGGACAAATAGGGATAATATGTGAAAAGCTAATTCGTAATAATTTAGATTAAATGATAATGTTTCCAGGAAAGAAAGGGGCCAATTTCTTTAAAAAGGTGTTTTTTAACAATAAATAACAATTAATTTTTTTTATTTATAACAATTTAAAATTATGGTTTACCTCTTCAGTTTCAGATTTGTCCATATGAAGATTGTCAATATCTCTCTGAAGTTTTTTCAAATCAACCTGGAATATTGAGAATTTATACTTCAGATCAAAAAACTTTTATATTCATTGTATAATGTACATCAAGAAATCAGAAAATGTAAAAATAATAAAAAAAACGCAAAACTTTGAAAAATGTGTGTTTTATAATCTTTGACAATAATTTTTTTCATCATTAGAATGTGCATCAAAAATATATTGCGGAAACCACAAACAATAAACATAAACCAGGAAGAACAAAGAAATTAAAGGGGGTGTTCGCGAATAATGAAAGAGGGTATAGGCTGATATTAAGTTGAATTCGAAAACGTGTAATACCAAAGAACACAAATTCACGGTTTTGCATTACTCCACTCAGATAGTAAAAAGTTCAATGAAATCTATAATTAATCATTCCTTTATAAAAAGCTGGTTTTTTGGTATGCAACAATTTTCATTTAATCCCGCCCCTTTTAATCGATTTAATATTTACAAAGGAATGTCAATTTAAACCCTCTCGGGATTAAATGATAAACCCGAGAGCGCCTGAGAGTAAATGATACATTCAGATATTACATGTACATCCTATAATTAAAAAAATATAGAATTCAATTCTATATCAGCCTATACGCCCTTTGTTTTTTCTCGAACACTCCCTTTAACTTAAAATATTAATACCTGAGCTGATCTGAATTTAGATTCTAGATCTTGGATAGTTTTCTTGTCAGCAGTGTGTAGAGCAGCAAAACTTTCAACCTCTGCAGACCTGAACAATGAACAATGAACATGTTGTGAATTCACAATTGTAAATAATAATAGAGTTCCATGCTCCCTAGTAAGAGTATGTTTGTAGCCTGACAATCTAACAAAAGCCAAACGCCTAAGGTTATTGAACTCGTAGTATTTTTGCAGCCTGATGATCCAACAGGTCAGACCCCAAAGGATATTGAACCCTTCTTTATCTTGTTTATCTGGATTACCAGGCCAGTTGTTATCGAGTATCTGATCAGAAGAGTCTGATGGAAATATATTCGCCAAAGGCAAATATTGTGCTGCTATTTGAGATCCAATTTATTAATTTATCGAGCAGTTAGTATAATTAACATGTAAATATAGTTTTGTGTACAAACATGTTTCATTATTCCACTCAATTTTAGCCTTTTGCTTTCAATCCTTTTTCTTTAATATCAATCAAATAATTGAGTCAAAATAACTATTTTAAAAAATCAATTTAAAAACCAATTAATCATACAAAAAATCTATCTTTAAATCAATCGAAAAAAAAATCAATAAATCGATCATGTATTTCGTTCTATGTATCAAATTGAATTATCTTATCTAAACAAACAATTTTTTAAGACAAAAAATCGAAAAAGCTTAAACTTTGCTCACGTTCATTTTTAAAACAAAATCAAATAAAAATAAGTTTTCAAAAACAACACTAATATTAATAAATTAATATTTGATGGATCAATAAAAAGTAATCAAATATTTATCTTGAACAAAAACTAAAACCTACTTGATCTTAATCTCTGCATTTTTCTCCGCTAGTATCTGATCTCTCTGCTCTATAATCAGCTGTAGTGCATCCACTTTTCCCTAATAATCAAAATTTTAAAAATGCGAGGAAATTCAAATGAATAAATGCGGGAAGATTAAAAAACAAATGCAGGAAATAGTTACTAAACCTCGATACTTCTGCTCTCGTTGAGTGCTGATGTTGTTTCTGAAACAACCTCCTTAAGTTTCGAATTCTCGTGCTCCAGCTGTTTAAGCGTCTAGTACAAATATTAAAGATAAACAAAGAGTCAAAAATCACTAAATGGACAAACCAATGATAAAATAAAAATGCGTTACAAGAAAAAAAACCGTTAAATAGATCTGAGCCCGCGATTTGAAAACTTCGGCTCGAGCCGTAATTCCTTAAACCCGACTTTTATACCCAATCTTTGACCCACCTCTGACGACAGCTTGTGTCACGTGATTGAAAGCTGCAAGATCTTCGGCTCGACTTAAGGAGTTAGGCCCAATGAAAATAAAACCGACCTTGGTTGGTTTTAGTGGAGAATAAGGCTCAATGCTGTGTCTTGTTCTCATAAAAACTGGGAATGTGCCAATTCCTACCATGAAAATCCACCAAATAGAATATTAAACCGGTTTACCGGTTTTTTGAACTCAACTCTCTAGAAAATAAGATGCGGCTTTAATCCGAAGGCTCAAGCCGTAAATAAGGTCCAACGACAGCTTAGACCCGAGCCGTATTTTCCCGATTTTTTTTAATCGCGGGCTCTGATCGTACTGCAAAACAAAAGAAGCGTTTTGATTAATATTATAAACTCGTTGATACTCCACCAACGTAAACGTGTGCAACTTCAAAAATCAAGAGAATTTGGATATTAAAGAAATTCATTTCATTTCACGAAATATATATGACCATATAAGTGTACAGTTCAAAGCCAGAACAGTTCAGAAGACATTTTGTAGATAGGAAAATGGGATAGACAGAATATCCACCTATGAAATGTTATTATACACACATCTTTTGTTTCTTGTAACTTTGAGCCAAGCGCCCAAGCTTTTTCCCTTAAATATTACCACGTTAGTTATTCGTCCTAACTAATATTTTTTAATAAGAAACAATTTAGACTACATTAAGCGTCATTTTAAGCCCCCTAAGACAAAAAAGCAAGGTAAAATAACCACACACAGTTTAAGCAGTTTCCTCCAAAAGAATTTTGGGAATTTTCATGATTAAACTGAATGCATGGAAAAAACACAAGTATTTCCTTTTACAGTATATAGAGCAGAGTAAAACATTTCAAAGTTAAAGTATCAAAATACATTTATTCCACAAAAAGGCAGTTAATCTTTGAAAATATAAAAATTTAAAAATTAACAAGGAATAGGAGAGCAAACGAAAAGAGAACATGTTAAAAGAAGTTGTTAAAAAAATTTGTTAAATGAATTGATTAACAGTTAAAGAAGTTACAGATAATTTTAGAAGTCAGTTAAGGACGATTAATTTGCTTCCAAATTCGTGAGCAATCCCTTTATCGTGAATTAACCCATAAACCTAGGACAGTTTGTGTAAAAAATCACCAATTTGGATTCAGAGAAAAAAGAACAGGTTATGTTAGTTTTAGATACAAAAAAAAACCCGAAAAAATTGCAAAACAACAAAATTTTATTTTTAATTTTTCGCCCGAAATTTAGAAGATTACCCCTTAAATTAATAGAAAACAACTGAAACAATCAAGTATTAAGAAAAAAAAGCATGCAACAAAATTCAGGGGTGCATATTTTATGTTGTAAGTTCAGTGCTTAGGATCCGGATCCGGATCCATTGGATCCGCAAGATTTTGACTTCCTGGATCCGGATCCGCAAAAATATGCGGATCCACGGATCCGGATCCAAGGGGTAATATATCAACCAAAAACTACAGAAAGTTTTTTACTCCTAAAACCCAAATCTGAACTTCTGAAACAAAGAGAGATTATAAAAAATTTCCTCATTTCTGAATGGTTCATCAAATTTTAGGATAAAAATAAGTGAAAAAAAATAAAACAAAAAATTAGAAAATTATTTTTTGTTAAAAAAAATCAATAAATCTTAAAGAAATGCCCTGGATCCGGATCCGGATTTGGATCCGGATCCATTATTTTTCAATGCGGAAACCGGATCTGCATCAAATTTAAATGGATCCTAAGCACTGGTAATAAATACAACAACTTTTATTAACCCAAAAATTGTGTTATATTCTTTTTGGACAATTTCGTGAACTTCAGTTTAAATTCGGAGATAAAAATTGAACACTGTATGTCTGAGGAATGATGGGAAATATATACCCCTTTATACAACACTGCCGTACTATATTTGTGTTTAGTATTTATTTACTGTTGCTATATCTTGAATTGATGCAAGTCCAGGGCCCAGAATAGACAATTTCTTAATTAATCAATAATTTCATCAATAAATGGAAAAAACATGAATTAATTAAAATATGAATGGAGGAATTAGAACCAAATTTAAATGATAAATAAAAAAATAACGAGGAAGAGGTGAGTGATTTCGTTAAAGGACAGGGGTGTATATTTTCTCCAAAAATAATTCTCCCCCTCGAAAATAAATTTTTCCTCCAGATTTTTTTCACTAAATTAGGATAAAAATAATGAAGGGATAAATGAAAGGATAATGATTAACGAATGAATGAATTAAAGAAGATAAAGGATGAATAAATAAATGGATAAACAAATAACTACGAAAGAAATAATGAAAAAGATAGAAAAGAATGTAACAAAAGATGAACAATAGGAAGGATGAATGAATGAATGAATGAATAAATGAATATAGCTCTCACCTCTGATCTTTTCTCCTCTAAAGCTGCAACATTCTCAAGTCTCTGTTTATAATCCTTGAGTTTGTTCTTTAACTGGGTCTTAATACCCTTAACACTCTCAAGTTCTACAAAACCAATAGTTTCAACATTCAGAATTCAGACCAATCTCTATGTCTAATTGCAAAAAGCTCCTTACTTGTGTCCTAATTAGTCCTCAAAAGTGTATCCTAATATTTTTGAATACTTCCGTCTGTTGGTTTGCAGTTTTTGCCACGAGCTGAAATTTACTAATCCTAATATCTCTGCAACCAGATGGTGCAAACCTTTGATAATTCAAACTTAGATTATTTTATCTAACAGATTTTATAATATGAAATATCAAAGGTTTCAACATTGGGTTGCAAAAGATAAAGGCATAAGAAAGTTTGAGTTTGTGGCAAAAACTCGATTCATTTAAAAAACTACTAGAAAAAGTTTCTGTTTATTTTAATCTTAAAACGTTGTTTAAACGTTGTAAAAACATTGTAAAAACATTGTAAAACATTGTAAAAACGTTGTAAAAACGTTGTGAAAACGAAATATGTAAAATTGAATCTATTCCTGATTTAGTAGCTTTCAGTTCTCTTCGTGTTGAACTCAGAGTTGTTTCCAGCTCAGAACTTTTATCCTAAAATAAAACAGAAGTATTAAAAATGAAAGTAAAATTATATAAGTCTTTATAATAGTCCATCAACAGAAAGTATATATGCGCATACATTTCTAACAAAAATCTTCTTTAATTATCTCTGTACCTGTTACTCCTAGTCTACAGTCCCTTTAATTATCTCTCTACCTGTTCCTCCTAGTCTACAGTCTCTTTAATTATCTCTCTACCTGTTCCTCCTAGTCTACAGTATCTTTAATTATCTCTCTACCTGTTCCTCCTTGTCTACAGTCTCTTTAATTATCTCTATACCTGTTCCTCCTAGTCCACAGTCTCTTTAATTATCTCTACCTGTTCCTTCTTGTCTACAGTCTCTTTAATTATCTCTCTACCTGTTCCTCCTTGAGTTCAGTTCTAAGTTTGTCCAACTTTTCCTCCTCTTTCTTAGCCCACTTGTTCCGTACCTAAAAACAATAAAAAATGGATAATTAAACTAATTATTCTGTAAGATAATTCTTATTGGTTGAAGTTGAACGTTTTCGACATCTTACAAAATAATCACAAAAAAATCATACAATATTTTTTTTTAAATAAAAAACTCTTACATCCTGTAGAACTTGAAGAGTTTTATGTTCGGTGGCCGACCTCTCTTGCCTCTCAATCTCCAGAACTCTCTCAAGGTTTTTGATGTTGGTCTTGAGCTGCGTATTCTCATTCTCCGCCATGGACAGCTCGTAGGTCAGCTTCTCTGTAGCTTCAAAATCCCTTTGGCTCGTCTCATGAGTTCTAGATTAGTGATAAATATACTCATTTATATATATATGAAAAAAAAATATATAACTGAGAGAAGGACTGATTCTTTAATCAATTCGTCCCCCTCCTCCTCCTCCTACTCCTCCCCATGAGGCAGGGTGGAATTCTGTACAATATAGACCCCTGAGAGAAGGACTGATTCTCCCCCCCCCCTCCTCCTTCTCCTCCCCATGAGGGAGGGTAGAATTCTGTACAATATAGACCCCTGAGAGAAGGACTGATTCTTTAAAACAGCAAGATACCTTGTAGTGCTGAATATCTGCTGCTCTAACTGAAATATTCTACAAAACAAATAAATGATGAAATTTTGTAATTGTAAAAATCTGTTTTTATGTCGTAAACACCGTAAAATATTATATATTGACCTAAAATATTTTCTCACTAAAGAAAAATTTTAAACCATAAATAAAAGCCATGGAATTTATATTTCTGTGGGTTGTGAAATATGAACATTTTCTTTATCGTCATTAGTGTTCCTGAGTTTGTAGTTCTCTAGTTCAGAAGCTTTAGTTTTAAGTTCAGTTTCCAGACTTGTAGATTCCTTGGTCTCTAGACTCTTCAGCTTACCCTAGTACAAGAATATATTACATATTTGTAGTTTTAAGTTCAGTTTCCAGGCTTGTAGATTCCTTGGTCTCTAGACTCTTCAGTTTACCCTAGTACAGGAATATATTACATATTTGTAGTTTTAAGTTCAGTTTTCAGACTTGTAGATTCCTTGGTCTCTAGACTCTTCAGTTTACCCTGGTACAAGAATATATTACATATTTGTAGTTTTTAGTTCAGTTTCGAGGCTTGTAGATTCCTTGGTCTCCAGACTCTTCAGTTTACCCTAGTACAGGAATATATTACATATTTGTAGTTTTTAGTGCAGTTTTCAGACTTGTAGATTCCTTGGTCTCCAGACTCTTCAGTTTACCCTAGTTCAAGAATATATTACATATTTGTAGTTTTAAGTTCAGTTTCTAGACTTGTAGATTCCTTGGTCTCTATAGACTCTTCAGCTTACCCTAGTACAGGAATATATTAAATATTTGTGGTTTTAAGTTCAGTTTCCAGACTTATGTGGAACTAACATCTATATTTTTAAAAATGAGGTTTGGTCCATCACCATCACCGAATTTTAAATCTAAAAGAAAGCTTTTGTATTTTGGATAGTAAGAGCAGATTTTAGAGGGTTTAGAGCCCAAAAAAGTATTTATGGCAAACTTAAGAAACAATAAGTATTAAAAAACTCTTCCCTACAAAGATTAGAAACTCAAAAAAAAAAATTCTGTTTTTAAGCCAAATATAAAAATAGCAATCATCTACGATTGGAAACAGATATCTACAAGAGGGGGGGGGGGGTAATTAATAATTTAAATACAAACCCCTGTGCAGTACTTACTTTATCTGAAGTAAAGGTGAACCCAATGAAAGGAAGATGTTTGAGTGTCTTCTTGTCAGTAAGACTGGAGATATCAATGCTAGAAGGTTCGTCCTCAATAACATCAAAGTTGGAAGTATCATCTGCCCTTTTCACCTTAATGTAACAGATATCAACCAACATGACTCAAAAATCAACCAACAAGATTCAGAAATCAACCAGCATGACTCAGAAATCAACCAAAATGACTCAGAAATCAACCAACATGACTTAGAAAACAACCATCTAATAAACAAACAAACTGTATTGAAAACTTGAGCTCAAATCAGTTTTAAAGAATTGAAAAATGTTGAAAATTGGTGAAGTTACGAGGAATAGTAATTTAGGAATGTGTTTTTTTTGTCCTAACTGGGTAATTTTTTTTAAAATTCGATTTGTAAATTTAATTGAACTTGGGTATTCAAGCCGGTTTCAGCAATACCCATATCAATAAACTTTTCAAAAATTGTATTCTCGGCTTCAAAAAATGCCTATTGTAAACATATCTTAAAATTCCTAGAAGAATACATTTTGGTTCTTGAAAATGATTCCAGAAAAATGTTTCACCCTAACTAACCAACCTGGGGCACATGAGGTGGTTTCTGGTTCCTCATATTGTTCCAATCAATATCTCCAAAGAACGGATGACGGATCAAGTTCTGATGTCCAATCCTCTTCGGTGCACTACTTAGCAGACGCTTAATCAAACTCTTCAGCTCACCAGAACATTCTTCATTAGAAGGGAACTCAACCTGACATTATTATTATTATTTGCAGACAACCAATCGTTCAATGAAATAGGGGTTAACAACTCGACATAAATATCAATTAAATAATTCTGGAGAAAAAGAGTAGCGCTTAGAATCCGCAATAAGCTTTCCTGCTCCGCAAAAAAATATGCGATCCAATGATTCGAAATCATGAGAAAAAAAAATAATTTCAACGTAAGATAAAATTGTTCGCACTCCAATCAACCATTTTAAGTTAAGATCATTAAACCTACATTAAAATCAAGTTAACATAAAACACCAGTTTCCAAATATAAATTTACAAATAAATTTTTGTTTGGCGAAAGAACGTAGAAAAATAATGTTTGATGAGCTGGCAAGTCTCTCTTTCACCTTCCCCCCCCCTCCCCCCCCCCCCCTCCCACTTCCTTCTTACTTTAATCCCAAACCTCAATTCTTTTTACAGTACAGTATAGCACGAATAATAAAGAGAAACGGGGCGAAATGATTTTAAGAAAATATATACCCCTGGAATATGTACACCGGGAAAGGGGAATAAACTACTACTCAAGGGTGGTCTCCAGTGATTTTGTAGCAGCAAAGTAAAAAAAAAGTTACAACTTACCTGCTTGTGCGCCATAATGTTTGAATAAGTGTTGATAACACTCCCGTCCAGGTCGGAGAAGGGGGTCTCCCCGAACATCATCTCGTAGGCGAGGATACCGAGGGACCAGTAGTCACACTCCGCGCCGTGGGACTTGGACCCAGTCTTACTCTGCAGGCACTGCAGCACCTCAGGGGCAATATATTCCGGGGTTCCAACAGGGATAACTTTAGTTACTAAACCTAAACAGAAAATATTTATGGGAACAAATGAAAAGATGTTCGAAAACGTAAAGCCCCACCTCCCCTTAGCTCTTTTTATTGCTGATTTTTACAAGAAAAAACAAGAACAATGCATTTTTTTATTTTACAAAACCCTAAACAGTTTTCTTTTATCTTTAAAAAGTTCTAAAAAGGGGGAAAATTCCGCAATTTGACAGATTAACAGCTACAAACTGGGCTCTTGCCCCAAACCTGACATTGATTATCAGATTAGGACCTAATCTCAGGTTAGAAGCTTCCTCCCCTCGGGTAGTACCTGCGGTATTGAGCCGAGCCGAGCTACCAAAATCCGCAATCTTGACATGTCCGGTAATGTCTAGCAATATGTTTTCAGGTTTGATATCTCGATGAACGTATCCCATCTTATGCAGATCATGGATACCAAGAGCAACCTAGAAACAAACAGAACAGATCAAATTATTTTTATAATGGTTACAGTATTCTTTAATCATATTATTCATAACCTGCTGTGTAAAATCTAATCCTGATATCCTACCTCTACTGTGTAGAATTTAACCTTGATATCCTACCTCTGCTGTGTAGAATCTAATCCTGATATCCTACCTCTACTGTGTAGAATCTAACCTTGATATCCTACCTATGCTGTGTAGAATCTAACCTTGATATCCTACCTCTGCTGTGTAGAATCTAACCCTGATATCCTACCTCTGCTGTGTAGAATCTAACTCTGATATCCTACCTCTGCTGTGTAAAATCTAACTGCAGGTTCCTCAAGCTTGTGTCCAGTTTTATCCAGGAGTGAAAGAAGATCACCTCCAGCATGGAACTCCATTGCCAGGTATAGATGAAGGTCATCCTAAACATTGAACTTGTAATTTTCGCTGGAACTTCAACGAAACCCTCCATCAACTGACTACATAGGCATGACAGATTTACAACAGTGCCCTGAACACCTTTTGTCTAAGAAAAACGACGATATCTTACTATTATTGCTACTCAACTAAAAGTTTTTATACGCTGTGGGTCGGGGAGACAACTCTAGTTTTTAGTCGCGTAAAATTATGACCAAAAAATGCACATTCAACATACCCCTTCTAAACAACATTTTTTATCTATAAAGTGTTGCTTTTCAAGTTGGCATTTCGTCTAAATGTAAAATTGAAATACAATACTTCCGCGAATTTTTCTGTGAACATTGTTATTTTATAAAATAAAAATTATTTCGACATTGTTTTGGGCAAAATTTTGGCCCGACGGTTCTGCCGTTTTAAAGTTTATAAACAAGCTAAAAATATATAGAGGTACCAAGTACTTATCTTTAGAAAGGTATATGTATATATTAATTCTATGACCTGGAAAGCATAATCAAGTTTTGTGAGCCATGAGCTGGTTGATCTGGCCATAATATCCCTCTCCTCCTCATAGAAAGCAGAGTTCCTATCCCCTGTCTTCTTCATTATCTTCATAGCGTAAACGTTACCACTACTCTTCTCCTAATCATACCCTTTCATTCCAGCTGTAGTGCTTAGATACGGATCAGGAAAAATATACGAATCCAAGGGGCAGAATATTAACCAAAAAGTGCAAAAAAATACTTGTTTACTTTCAAACCATAAATCTGAACTGCTGAACAAATTTCCTGATCTCTGAATGGTTCAAGTTCTAGCATTAAGATGAACGAAAAAAGGCGATAAAATAATTTGATAATTTTGCTTTGTTAAAAAATTTTTAGTAAATCTTACAGAAACGCTCATGTCCTGGATCAGGATCCAATATTTTCCAGTAAGGATCCAGGATCCGGATCCGCACCGCATTAAAATCAAATGGATCAAAAGCACTACAACTCGTTCAATGGGAAAACAATTCAAAACAAACACGACAAATGTCATGAATTCGTCAATTTGTAGAATGAAAGTTCCTTAGCAAGTTTGACATCGGCGAAGTTTCCCCGGCCGATGATTCGCTTGACATCGAAATCATTTATGCTTATCCTGTAAAGAACTCAGGATCACACATTAAAAAGTTATAAGATGGAAAATTTTGACAAATTTATATAAGAAGAGTACTCTACTCAAGGCTGTGCCCAGACCCGTAACCAGGGGGGTGCAAGGGTGCAGGTGCACCCCCCTTTCTTCTGAAAGGGGGGTGCAATGACGAATTTGCACCCCAACAAGTTCCATATAAAAGAAATTGTTTCTCATAATTTTCTAAAATCTAGTTACCAATAATATAGCTCAAGGAAGAGTTGATTCCCTTCCCAAACCATTCATCCATTTATTTTGAAATATAATAGCCATTTTTGGGAGTTTCAAAAACATTATTTTAAGCGAGGATATTTGTCATTTTTAGTTTTTTGAATACTCAAAAATTCGCTAAGAATGTCTCAATGTCAATAAATAAACTCTTTTAACCCTATCCCTGCTGGGGTACTTGAAAACCAGGATATGCTGGGGGGGGGGGGGTCAATTTGACCCCCCCTCTAAATCCCATGTTTGATGTCCAAATATGACAAATGATACATTATTAGAAAGCTCTTGTGCTTTACTTTTAGAATCTGCAAAAAGATTTGCAAATTTGCAAAAAGTGAATTTTTTTATCGCAAAATCCAATTAAATATTAAATGTTTGCAAAAAAAATTTGTCCAAAAAATGAAAAATTATACATTTTTGAAGAGCCCTTGACTATGCCATTTCAAATTTGCAAAAAAATTTCCAATATTTTTAATAACCTGATTTTTAATCAAGAAAAACTAAAATGTTCAAATTTCCTTTGACATGTTGTTTGCAAATAATTTGCAATTTTTTTTCGCAAGTGAAAATGGGTCTAAACAAAGATTTAGTTTGTTACAGGAAAAAGCAGTAATTCAGGCAATGTGCCTGAGGACTCAGGCAGTTAGTATTAAAGCCGGATTTTAGGCCTAAAGGGAGGGTTTTGGGTATGTAGGAAAAGCCAAAAAATTTCAACAGCCTCAGACCAATACTTTTTGAGTTATGTAAAAAAACTAAAAGGGGGGGGTCAAATTGACCCCCCCCCACCTCCAGTAGGGTTTAACAAAATATTAGAAATTTTTTTTTTATTCATCTTCATAATATCATGATTAGGTCGAGGGAAAAGAAGCCTTGATTTTAAATAATGAATTTTTTCCTTAAGCTAAAGTACCATTCATATATTTTTTATGTATATTGTATATATGTAAACTGAAAAGTTTCAGACACTAAAATGTAACCCTTAAAAGCTTAAATACACTTGTTAAAAAGGTTAGTCTTTATAGCGTACATTGACAATGTAATAAAGAAAACCATATACTACCGTAAAAGCAACCAAGCATTTGCTTGCACCCCCCTTGGAAAAATCCTGGTTACGGGCCTGGCTGTGCCCTATTGAAATGTGGGAAAATTTAATTGTGGTGTATACTGTTAATCTCAATTGACGAGAATATTTAGTTGTAAAACTAGAAAAAAAATATTTAATTGCTCGGGAGGGAGAAGGGCACTATGGGGTATTTAAGGGGGTCAGGAGACGTAAAAAACTTATACTTTATAGCTTTTTTACAAGAAATTACAACGGATTTAGGGTAATCTAGACTCATAAATACCCAATTTAAGAGTTTTACTTTTCAAGGAAATGACAAGTTTTCCTTCTGATTTTAGAACTTAAACGCAACATTCCAACGACTTAGAAGACACTTTTAACTAAAATATTTGTGTGGTCGAGCCTTGTTTGAAATGAATTTTAGAGATTTATTGTGTAAAATCAGTATTGCTGACCCCCCCCCTGATACCCCACCAAGGGGGGGGGGTGCACTGCATTTGTGTGATCTCCTGCCTAAGTTTGTTGTAGTTGTTGACTGTTGTCTGGAACTTGTTGATAAACTCTACCAGATGTTGTTTTCCCTTAAACGACAACATTTTATTTTATCCGAAAAAAAACATGATGCTTAATATCAACTTAACAGATCCATGTATTTTTTTTTAATTTCCCGGAGCGAACATCAAAAATATATTTTACTAGCTGAAGTGCCCGGCGTTGCCCTTGTAATATTTCAAAAAGTTAAACTTCATAAAAAGTTCCGATGGGTTTCCTCAAAAAATGTCAGCCTATTCGGTTCAGCAGTTGGTCAGCTATATATATATATATATTTATATGAGTAAAAGCTTTAAATAAGATTTATAGAACATACCCATGGTAACAAATAAACTCAAGGTTAGTTATAAATTACAAAACAACGATTTATTTATTTTAATTTTGAAAGTTCAGCAATCAATAACATTTCAAAATGCTAAGCTGCTAATCAAAGTTATATTAAAAGAGCCTAATATGGTAATAAACAGTAATTAATCAGAAAGAAAATCTAAAAATATAAATTGTTTAAAATGTTGCCGTGCCTTAGTTTCATCTTTACAGTTTTCGTAGAGAACAATGAATGCGTCAACTAAACCTTCAAACGTGAGACCAGGCTGAAGGGGGTCAAGAACCTAAATCAAATGAAATTTTTCATCTAAAAAAATATGTACGATGGTTTGTATTTTTTCCTAGAGGACGATTTAAAATCGTTCTCTAGGAATATACCAATAAGTGGTCATGTACAAGATTGATAGGAGGGGGAGGGTCCAAAAACCGTTCTCTAGGACAGACCCCATTTTCCTGTGTGGGAATTATGTATTAAATAAATTTCCCTATTTTTAATATTGGATTTAATTTAATAAACGTCAAATAATCAGATCAAGCCCCTTTTCTATTAGGATGAGAGTTAAAAATCTAGAAGGTTACCCCTCCCCCCCCCCATTGCAATACATTGAGTAACTAATTTAATAATCGTCTAAATATACCTCCTTTCTGAGCCGTAGAAACCTATTTATAATCGGTGCTTCGGCAGACATTTTTATACCTTGCCGGCCTTAACTACCCACCACCGCGGGGTTTACAAACACACCTCTGAAATATAGATATTAATCAGACTAATTCTAAATCCATTGTGTCTTATAAAATATTTAAAAATACATGAAATTCATAGAAATTAAGGGGCGCGTTGGAAAAGTAGGATGGGATCCGTCATAGTATACGATTCATTATTTACTTCGCACTATTTTTTAAATCTACTTTTATTGTCACTTGTTAAAAATCAGAGAGTCATTTGAAATTGAATTGAAAAAGCGCGGGTTAAAAATCTTAAATTTTGAAATATTACAACTGTATTGCGGCATTTTTACGCAGTAAGGGACAATGAATACGACATTTTATATCTTCTCATCTACAGGGTGTGTCCCGATGGTGTGTCCCACATAATATTAGACCGTCAATGGGTATAAATCAAGTGCGTATACAGGGGGGGGGGGCAAAGGACAGTGCCCCCTTAGAAATCAGAGCTATCAAACTTTTCAAATCTTAAACTGCAGAGTGAAGGCTGAAGAACAGGATGTGGAGAATGTGGATGTGTACCTTACTATTTTATACTTTTTGCCTGTTGATAGAAGCTAAATGTTCTGAATACAGATCAAACTTTGCCCCCCCCCCCCCTTAGGAGCTCCTAGGGGTGGGGAGCGGGAAAGTAAAGAATTTCAAAAAGGAAAATTACAATATAAAAGTACGGATACAAATTTTCAATAACAGACAATTTCGTAAAATAGAGGCTAAATATTTAGAATGTAAAGCTATTATTTTGCCCCCCTCCAAGAAGCTCCTAGAGGGGAGGGCAAAAAAAAATTTGGCGCTTTGCGCAATTTTTGGCCGCCCCTTGATTTTTCATTATATACGCCCTTGGTCTAAATTACGATTTTTGGGACTCATCAGAAAATTGAAGAATATTGAATCATTTCGAAAATTTGAATGGTGCTATTATTGAAATAGTCTTGGGAAATATACTATTTTTAGTATTATATGTTTATTTTGGCATTATTAGAGCTTGGATGTAATCTAATGATATGGGACGCTCTGTATGTTTTCCGACCGACCTACGTACATCCGCTATACAAGTTTTTTTTTTAACTATTTCCGACTTATTCAATACTCAGCAGTGCTCTGGCAGCTTCTAACGCTAGATCCTATGAACATGTAGGTCGTGTATAAAAGTTTTTTTCTGAACTTAAAATGTACTAAAAAATATTAAACTTGCAATTTTATGTTTAATGTCCAGCTCAGAGGCGCAACTAGGGGGGGGGGCGGCCGGGCGCGCGCCCTCCCTTAGTTGGGGATAAAATTTTATTTCGGTCCAAAATAAAAATATTTTGTGGCATTCAACTATAGGGTAACAAACGTTGAAAAAAAGAGGCAAACTTAAGTCTGGTGGAGAAATTTGAATAATAATTTGTGTGGGTGTAATTTAATAATCTACTTTGGGGGCATTTTTATTGAAAATCGGCATTGGATACAAAGAGAAAATTTTCACAATTAAAAAAAGGATGGGAGCAAAGCGCCCTACAAGCCTAGTTAGTATATTAAAATGAATAAGATTGTAGATCAAGAAATATATAGTTCCCTGTTGTAGATAATGCTTGCAGATTCCCACTGTAAAGGAACCGGAAGTGAGTCTTTGCCACAAAATCATATTTTTCTAATCCTTGTATCTGTCCGATCTACATAATAACCTAAATAGTGTAAAACTTTGATATTTCAAGCTATATATTATTAAATCTAACAGAATTCATAGTGTAAAATAACCAAGGTCCATTGGGTTGATAAGTCGATGTACGGATTCGAAAATCAGAATTTGTGGCAGAGACTCAATTCCTTTGTAGATTTTTTCTCGATTTCCCTATCAATTACAAACTAAAAAAGGAAAAAAATGTTTTGTTTCCAAAACTTTTCAATATATTTACGATTTTTACTGTCACACTTTTTCATATTTTAGTCGTAAAAGCAAAGCAAACAAAAATTTAAACATTTTATGCAAGTTATCGCTAATCCCGGTTTTTCACTCGCCCTGTTTACATATATAAGATTTGACAATTAGAAGTCTATGTTCCTACAAAATGAACGCATTATTTTGTTATTTATATGTTTAACTGGATTGTGAATCCCCGCTGTATGCAAGCTGAATTATGTGTAAAAATAAAACCTTGAGAGAATATTTTCAAAATGTCAAATAAAATTCTAAACCATTTAAATTACGATGTTTTGAGTTTTTATTTGATTAATTGGTTTTGTGATACCTTGTACAAGGCACGCCCCCCCCCCCCCCCCCCCCCCCCCCAGCCCACCATACTGAATACTGAACAGTAGCAAACTGGTTTTTTAAGGGATAACATCGCCTTGGAGTAAACCTTAAACATTCAAACCTTCTAAGGTTCTACAGGGTGTCTCGCGAAACATGACAGTTAGTGAATACTCTTTAAAATGTCTTCTCCCATAATTTGTTAAGCTTTTTGATACAGCGATAACCAGAAACCTATGGAATATGAAGACGACATTATAGTAAAACCTAAGTGCATTTTACACAGCAAAAAGTTATATGCGTTTTTACAAAATAAATTTCAAAAAGTCTTTAATATCTAATACAGTGTATGAAAGAAACTATTCAAAACTATTCAATATTCACCAACTGTCATGTTTAGTGGGACGGATGTATTATTACTACGCACAGATTTGGCAGGAATCTAATATGCTTGTTATATAGATCTAATATCTACGTTCCTTGACATAATATCCTTGCACTAATTAATTTTGCCAAACTGTTTCGGCTGCATGTCCATATATAAACATTAAAATAAAAGGGACTGTGTCCATATATAAACTTTAAAATAAAAGGGACTGTGTCCATATATAAACATTAAAATAAAAGGGACTGTGTCCATATATAAACATTAAAATTAAAGGGACTGTGTCCATATATAAACATTTAAATTAAAGGGACTGTGTCCTTATATAAACATTAAAATTAAAGGGACTGTGTCCATATATAAACATTAAAATAAAAGGAACTGTGTCCATATATAAACATTAAAATTAAAGGGACTGTGTCCTTATATAAACATTAAAATTAAAGGGACTGTGTCAAAACGTCAAAAACGTCAAAATGGCTGAATTTTGTAAGGGACCTCGCGTGACCCCAGGGAAGGTTTTTGGATAATCGAATTTTCTAAAAATTTAGTTTAAAAGTTTTTAAATTTTGTAATATTTTAAAAATGCGCGAAAAAATATTTCTAAATCCGAGAAGAAAAAATGTTTTTGATTAATACTGCTCACAGATAAAGTCACAATTAAAAGTTGAAATAGTAGATGGGGGCGCCCTAAAAGCCTAGTATTGTTAGATTTTGACCAAAAAGGACCTTATACAAATTTTGCATAATTAGCTTGGGAACCATGCTTTGCCTGGAAACTAATCTTTCCCTTTAAAACGTATATAAAAAGTTAGAATTTCTTACGATAGCTGATTTACATTCCTGTGGTTCTAACGAGTTACCCAATCAAAATTTGAGGCTAATCACTGTTTAAGGGTTAATGATGTTTTGATTAAACATACAAACAAAATGCAATCTAACTTTTTCATTTGTTAAATAGATCATTGGAATGATGCCATGCATGAATCAATATCTCCAATAAAATATCAAAAATACGTTTTTTCTTCAGAATTAGTGGAAATAAAAAAAATGTTGATTTGATGAAACCCCATGCATTAACAGTGATGGACGAAAAAGTTCGGTAATGAACGAAAAAGAAAAGAATGTAATCGATTAAAATTGAGTTATAGAAATGAACTAAAGCCAGTAATGGAAGCAAATGAGCAGTAACGGACGACCAGTAGTAATGAAAGAAAATGAGCAGTAATGGAGGAAACCAGTAGTAATGGAAGCAAATGAGCAAAAATGGACGAAACCAGTGGTAATAGAAGAAAATGAGCAGTAATGGAGAAAACCAGTAGTAATGGAAGAAAATGAGCAGTAATGGACGAAACCAGTGGTAATGGAAGAAAATGAGCAGTAATGGAGGAAACCAGTAGTAATGAAAAAAAATGAGAAGTAATGGACGAAATCACCGTAGATAAGTTTTCTTCCACAAGAAATGTAACTGTACTACACTGTACAGTGGAAAACCAAGGGTATGTTTTTTTAAAAATCTGTATTTATTGTGTCGTCAAGACAGGAAAAGACATGATTTTTTTCTCGAAAAATTAGAAATACAGGGTGTCCCACGAAAGAGAGACGACTTGAAGATTGCCCTGATATAATTTACGTATTGCCAAAAGAATGTTTTCCTTTTTTAAGCTTGTAAATATTACGGATATTTAAAGGATTTCGTTGAAATTGCAATTAATTCAAATATCAAAGATGATATCATGTTTTGTGTCTGTACATTATGCTACGTCTTGGGACCAGAAAACGGTAGATAGTATAGTTTGAGGTCATTTTTTCAATTTTTAAATAATTTTCCCCAAAAAAATGTTCATTTCTTGATACAATTCAGAAAAAAAAACAATTACAAATTAAAAAGTTCTTTGCAGCAGTATTTTAATCAAAAGAGAAAATGAAGACGACACTCATGTCGCAGTTTTTAAAAACTTGTAATTCAAACAAATATGTGCTTCTAATTTGACCGATTTGATTCAATTCAATTTTTAAAAACGATCGTTTTTCGTTTTCTAAAAGTTAAAAACGAATGGATCGTTTTATAAAAACAATCTTTTTTTCCGAAAACATAACGATAGTTTTTGAAAATGATCGAAAAACGTAACAAACAACGATCGCTTTCAAAAATGATTAACAACCATACCTGCAACAATGTTATTTGCTTTTTAGAGCTGTTCCAGATTTAAGTACTTTTGCAAACTGTACTCCAGAGTTTATGAAGGATTCATGGTTTAAGAGTATCTATCTATCCAACATATTCATCATCATAGCAATAGGTAAATATATATGAGGCCTTCATTTGGCGCGTCTTGCCTGCTTTTTTATATATAAGCTTGTCTATCGCTGAACTTCTGGCGGAGTGCATGGAGCGGACTTGACTGCATGGGGCGGACTCGACTGCATGTGGCGGACTCGACTGTATGGGGCGGACTCGACTGCATGGAGCGGACTCGACTGCGACTGCATGGGAGCGGACTCGACTGCATGGGGCGGACTCGACTGCATGGAGCGGACTCGACTGCATGGGGCGGACTCGACTGCATGGAGCGGACTCGACTGCATGGAGCGGACTCGACTGTATGGAGCGGACTCCCCCAAAAGTTTAAACCATTTCAACACAATGTTAGACAAAAAAAAGCATTTTTAAAACATTTCAAATTATTAGTTGACATATATTTAATACGCATTCAGTTCTTAAATGTATTTTAAAGTAAAGTAAAAGCAAAAAAAAATATTTCCTCTTAAACGCCGTCTTCCTTTCTAATCATCAAAACAATTAATATTTACTCAAGAGAAAAGTAGTTTTTCCAATCAAAATACATTAATAAATACCGGAAAATGTCATAACATTGCTTTTTATGTCAAACATTGTGTTGAAATGCTAGAGTCCGCTCCATGCAATGACACCGGCTTCTTTGCCCCTTGGTTCATAATAAACATAGATTTCAGGGTTTTTCCGTGAATTTTTAAATTTTGAAAAATAAATTTTCCTTTTGGAGCAAAATAAGATATTTTTTATGACGAATGCAGAATTTGTTTCTTCTAAATCTCAAGAATTACTATAAATTAATCAAAACAAAACAATTTCGTTTAAATTGTCTCAAACACTCCCTGTATATTGTATAATCAATTGAAGATATCAATCTTATCAAAAAATAATATTTCTTGGAAACTTCTTTTTAAAAAAGTATTGAAATAATCTTGCAAATGTTTATTATAATCTTCTCTGCGCAGCTTCACAGAAGAAAAAAAAATTATCATTTCAATTAGGGTATTCTGACTTTAATAGTTTATCTGCAAAATTAAAAATAATTATTAAACACTTAATACAAACCTTACAAACCTGATCAAGTTTTGATATTTTCAACTTTGAATAATTTGAATTAACAGGATTTATAATTTATAATATCAAACGAATACGACATAAGATAGCAAAGATATAGGGAATATAAAATTAAATTTTTTCGTGAGTGATCATGGTTTCTTAATTTTTTTGGGATAGGAGTTGAAAACTGAAATTAAACTCTTTATCTTACCCTGATTTATGATCAAAAACAAATAGATTGTCAAGTACAACCTTTTTGATCAAAAATAGTTGCCTCGCTATACAATATTGAGTTGCAAAGATGGCTTATAGAAAATCAAAGTTTTTTGTAAAGACTTAATTCATTTACACTTAAATTTTAAAAAAATTATCTACATTTATAATTAATTTTAATATGCGTTCAATTTCATATAAAAATTCAAAATTTTTGCATATTAAATCTATTCATAAATCTTTACCCGCTCAAAGACCGAATTTAAAGATTTGAGCCATGGCTCAAATATGAGACGTGGTTCAAAAAGATTATCAAATACTTGACAATCTATTTGGTTGGTTCCACTTGAAATCATATTCTGCAATGTTTCGATATTTGAGCCGGCGCTCATTCGGAACCGGCTTTTGACGGTTTGCGAAGCGGTTTGAATTCTTTAAATTCGGCCTCAGTATTGATTAATTCCCCTACAGCCCATTGCCTGTTTGATATAAGTCGAAAACATCATTTCTTTCTTTTAACAATTCCTTAACAAAGATTCAAATCAGTTCTGTAAGCCTTTTCATAAGTTAGTAATTACAATTGTGTTTAAGAGCGATTATACGTATAAATGGAAGCCTAAAGATGTTAAATTATAGGTGGGATTGGAAATCTGTTGACCCTGCTATCGGTTCCCTATGTTTTTGTAAGGTGAGATTTTAAAAATAGAATTTCCGATCTTTCTTCATAAATTCGACGAATTTTCTCGGGAAGACAAAAATAGTAATTAATGTCGTCTTCTCCAGAAATCCAATATATATTTACCCTGTTGACGTTTCATAATGTTGTCTTTGGACTATTCGGATTTTTCCTGCTAAAAGTGACAATTTTAATTGTGATTTATTTATTCTTCAGCTTAAAGAGACTATGAAAGATATTAACAGAATTTGAAACTTTTTAGATATAAAAACCAAAATATGTTTTTTTATTACTCTAGTTAGAGGTTTTTGAGACATTACGTCTGCAGTTCTTTAAAGTTTTCAAAAGATTCCGATTGAAACAAATTTCTTTTAGTACTTTCAGTCTTCTTGAGAAAACCAGTTTCCGATAATTTGTGTTACAAGGAACCGTTCACAATCGTATTTCAATGCTAGCTATCTATGTGCAGGTATCCTGTGACAAGATATAAGTTTCCCTGGTTACAGAATCCAATGACTATTCTGATCCTCCATCTGTCCCTGTGTGATTTCCTGTACTGTACCCTAGGTAGAGATGGGCATCGTTTTTTTAAACGAACGAATTTTTAGGGAACGAACGAAATTTTTCGTGAAAAAGTTTGTCGTTCAGAAGAAAAAATTAACAAACTTTATAGAAACGATAGTTTTTTTACTGAACTAACAATTTTTTGAACAAATTTTTGAAAAAATTTACTGAACAAACAATTCTACTGAACGAATAATTTTAATACCAAAGGAAATCACATTTTTTGATAAATTTAAAAAAACGAAATGAATGGGTCGTTTTTTACGAACTATGAACGAACGGAATGTGTCGTTAACGAGCTATGAACGAACTAGATGAAAAAAGTCCAACGTGCCCATTTCTAATCCTAGGCCTGCCCTTCATCACCCTACCGACCCTGTACGGATATTTCCCATACTCGAAGCGAGTTTGCCGATTAACTTCACTGCTTCGCAATCTGAACGCTTATTCTGAGTTTCTCACAATTGCATGTATAGCTTTGTTAAGGTAAGATTTGACAAGAAATATACGCTTTAAAACAGAACCCTGGTTTTCCATGGGAGTTTGTTTCTTATTAGGGCTGTCAGCGTAATTTCAAGTGTCCCTTCAAGCAAATTAATGTTAATGCCCACCCTTGAGAACTTCATCTAATCAAAAATGTGGAAGATATCATCGTTTTCTTGAAAAGGGATTCTTCATTGTTTCTTATTAGCAAGGAATGCGCAAGTCTCGTTCGCAGGGAAACCGCAAATAAAAAAGCAGTTTAAAGAAACAGATACTATATCTAATTCAAGCTTGATCAGACAAGGTTTGCAAGCAACAGCAACAGCATGTATAAATTAGTTAAACTTACGAAAAGCCAAAAGTTTTTTTTAATATTAAATAGAAGGGCCTTGCAACTTTCCTCCCCGTCTTGGCTAGGGTTTCCAGCAAAAAGGAAAAATCGTTTCACGAAAAATTCGCATTTTTGCAAAAAAAAATTCTACGCTACCATTTCGCTTTATTTTCGCATTTCGTTCGCTCGCAAAAAATGCAAAATTTTTCGCTTTTTTCGCAAAATTTCGCTTCAAAAATGCGAAAATTTCGTTAAAAAATAATGCGAAAATTTCGCGAAAATGATTTAACGTATGTATTGTGGACGGACAGACAGAAACTTAAAATTATATAGTGAAAAATCAAACATTTATTAAAGTAAAGGAAGGGAAATTATTCATATGGCATAATAAAACTTCAAATATTGAGCTATTAAAAAAGAGAATTCCACAAGTTCTTTTGAGCAATTAATTGTATAAAACTCATGGTTTTCACAAAATTTTCGCATTTTGCGAAAATATTTTTGCATTTCGTATTTCGCATTAGACTCATTCACTTTTTAATGATAACACTATATTTTACTATTATTGTTTCAATCAAAGAACTGGGTTAAAGATCAAAAAAAGATCGTCTCTCAACTGTCATGTTTACTGGGACACCCTGTTTTAATGCATGTAAAAATGATCATCAATTTTTTTTACAAAAGAATATTAAGTCATTAATTATTTATTTATGTTTAGGTTTAAAGGTTTGATAAAGGAACGATTTGCTTTACCTCAGGTAGAGAGGAGCATTGCATTTTTCATGACTTTTTTAATTCAATGTTTTTTACATAAGAGGCTTTACAAGAATATAGGTTTTTATAAATTCTCAAAATGTGCATACCCATTAAATTTAGCTTTAAATTATAATGTTACAAAATTTAAAAAAATTGTTTTAATAAATCTTTTTGTTACGTTAAAATCTTTTATCTTTTTGTCACGTTAATATCTTTTATCTTTTTGTTACATTATTATCTTTAATCTTTTTGTTACGTTAATATCTTTTATCTTTTTGTTACGTTAATATCTTATATCTTTTTGTTACGTTAAAATCTTTTATCTTTTTGTTAAGTTAATATCTTTTATCTTTTTGTTACGTTAATATCTTTTATCTTTTTGTTACGTTAATATCTTTTATCTTTTTGTTACGTTAATATCTAATATCTTTTATCTTTTTGTTACGTTAATATCTTTTATCTGTTTGTTACGTTAATATCTTTTGTCTTTTTGTTACGTTAATATCTTTTATCTGTTTGTTACGTTAATATCTTTTGTAAGAGTAAAACTTTTAAATAATGTAGAAAAAGCTAAACTAAAAGCTAAACTAAAAGCTAAACTAAAAGCTAAACTAAAAGCTAAACTAAAAGCTAAACTAAAAGCTAAACTATCAAGATTACAGTTTAGAAAATGTCAAATAACTTAGAAAGAAATTAAGTCTTTGTCATAAACTCTGATTTTCTGATCCCTGTATCATTGCAACCCAATGTCATCCTGATAGATCTACTAATCTAAGTTTGAAATATCAAAGTTTTACACCATTAGGTTGCAAAGATTTAGGGATTAGAAAATTTGAGTCTGTAGCTAAGACTCAATTTGATTGTGAAGAGTTTAAAGGTAAAAAATTACAATTGAATCTAAAACTATGACCATTGACCATCTCTACACTAGACTGGAAATGGATTTGAGACCCCGCTACGAATGATTATTCTCTGCTTGTTAATCTGGATTCTTTCCTTTGTCATCATTTCTCCACGAGTCTTTGGTGTCAAGGAATAGAGCTTGGCTCGTTCAATCTGTAATTCTTTCGTTACTTGTTCATCGCTCGTTCGTTCAATCTGTAACTTGTTAGTTAACTGTTCATTACTCGTTCGTTCAGTCTGTAATTTGTTAATTATTAGTATATTCCCCATTCATTCAATCTGTAATTCGTTTGTTAATTGTTCATTATTTGTTTGTTCAATCCGTAATTTGCTAGTTAATAGAATTTCACCCTTTTGTTCAATCTGATATTTGTTAATTAATAGTTTATTACCCATTCATACAATCTGTAATTCGTTACTTAATAGTTTATTACCCATTCGTTCAATCTGTAATTTGTTAATTAATAGTTTATATTACCCATTTGTTCAATCTGTAATTTGTTTATTAATAGTTTATTACCCATTTTTTCAATCCGTACTACGTTAATTGATAGTTTATTACCCATTCTTTCAATCAGTAATTCGTAAATTAATAGTTTATTACCCATTTCTTCAATCTGTAATTTGTTAATTATTAGTATATTACCCATTCGTTCAATCTATAATTCCTTAGTTAATCTTTCATTACTCGTTTGTTCAATCTGTAAAATTTAATAAATCTGTTTATTGTTAATAAATAGTTTATAACCCATTCGTTTAATCTGTAATTCCTTAGTTAATCTTTCAGTACTTGTTCGTTCAATCTATGACTTGTTAGCTAATTGTTCATTACTCGTTTGCTAAACCTGTATTTCGTTAGCTAATTGTTCATTACTTGTTTGTTAAATCTGTAATTTGTTGTTTAATCTTTCATTACTCGTTTGCTTAATCTGTAATTTGTTAAATAATAGTTTATCACCTATTCGTTCAATCTGTAATTCGTAAGTTATTTCTTTATGTTCGTTTGTTCAATCTGTAACTTGTTAATTAATTGGTTATTACTCCTTCGTTTAATCTGTAATTTTCCAGTTAATAGTTTATCGTTAATTAATCATACTCTTTTAATCTGTAATTTGTTTTTTACTTGTTAATCACTCGTTCGCTAAATTTCTAATTCGTTAGTCAATTGTTCATTACTTGTTTGCTCAATCTATAATTCGTTAGTTAATTGCTTTCACTCGTTCGTTCAATCTGTAATTCCTTAGTTAATCAATCATTCATTTGTTCAATCTGTAATTTGTTAGTAATCTTTTATTACTTTTTCATTCAATCTGTAATTTATTGGTTTAACGTCCAATACTGATTTGTTCAATCAGTAGTTTGTTAGTTTATCGTTCGATACTGATTTGTTCAATCAGTAATTTGTTATCGTTAATTGTTATCGTTATTGTTATCGTTAATCGTTCATTAATCGTTCTATCAATGATGCGTTTATTGTTTTTTTTTCGGCTCTTTAAGTTCGTTTGCGATTTTTGCTAAACAAATTTTGTTTTTGAAACGATGCCCAGCACTAACTAAGGAGCCTGATTTCGGAGGTTTTGGTTACAATCCTGTTGGGCTGTGTAACGTAGTTCATGGCACAAAATATTCACCGGCAGGGCTAGTCTTCTCTGTAGGCATGGATAGATAGATAGATAGATAGACGTATTGAACATCGAAATTTACACTCCCGACTTTTTAAATTTTAACATAGACTGAAGAAATGTAAGGGGGTTTTAGTGCAGCTCTATCTATCTGTCGCTGGTGTCCAGGATTTGCTGTTCCCTACTGTATTCTTGTGAATCTGTCCTATGTAGTTCTAGCCTGCGTGATCAAACAACGAGCCAGATCCAACTCTTTAGGAACACTTTCAAACTAATTAATTAATCAATCTAATAAATCCAATATTATTCTCAGAAATAAAAGAAAACTCTTTGCAGTCTTTGATATTTCAAATCTAGATTATTTTATTTAACAGAATTCATAGTACGAAATATCAATGGTCTACGACGATGGGTTACAAAAATAAAGGAATTAGAAAATCAGAATTTGTGCCAAAAACTGAGTTTCTTTTAAAACCGATTTAAATTAATTCAAAGATAAAAATAATTTGGAACTGGAGCAGACAGGCACAGAGCACATTTTGATAAAGCCACTAAGATGCTAATGCTGCTGAGCATTAGCTTCCTGGTGTTTTCTGGACCCCTGACTATAAAAAGTAGGACATTTTTCAGTTTTTAAAGAAACTGTTTTCATATTTCTGGTGGTAACCCTAATTTTGAAGATCTAAATACACAATTCATAAAGGTTCCATTAAAACCTTTGTTTTACTATCTTTAATATCATTTTCCTTTTTCTTTGCTGCATAAATTAAAATTAAATGTTATAAATTTTCAAATCAAAAATCAAAAATAATTAAGTTGTTTCCCCGAACTAAGTTTTAAAAGGGCACCGTTGTGAATCGGGCATGCAGCTCTTGAAAGGGAAGATCACTTGAAATTAAGTCTATGCAGTCCCTTTAAGCAATATTCATTGAATTCTTTAAGTCTCCTAGATTATTTGACAAGATAACTTTAATTCTCCTAGATTATTCGACAAGATAACTTTAATTCTCCTAGATTATTCGACAAGATACCTTTAATTCTCCTAGATTATTTGACAAGATAACTTTAATTCTCCTAGATTATTCGACAAGATAAATTTTGGTATTTTGAAACTTTTTACACCAGGTAGTCAGACAGCAGATACTGATAAAGTTACACAAATGCTAATTTTTCTTAGCGTCAGTTTTCTTGTGTTTTGTGGACCCCTGGCTCCAATAAGTATGACATTTAAAAATAAATTTACAGATAATTTATTTTGGATATTGTTCGACGTTTATATCAATACAATGATGAAAACTTTCAAACACCAAAAAAAATATTGTTAATTAAAGGGACTGTATACGTAATACCCTCCATGCAAAGATAAGCAATACCCTATTTATAACCCTATTTAAATAAACAAAAAACATGAATATGTAATTCTTAAAACTGATGAGACAACCCTTTCAAGGACACCGTTGTGAAACAGGCATTGTCATTTTTTCATTAAGGATCCCTTGAATTTACGCTTACAGTCCCTTTAACAGGGAAACGGTTTGTTGTTTTAACTATTAAAATATTGAAATATTATTTAATTCTAAACTGTGCAATTGTTACTTTTTACACTGCAGTAGGAATGATGCAATTGATATTTGGAATTTTAGTTATCTTACTGCAGGATATAGAATAAAGGAATTGAGTCTTTGTCACAAACTCAAAACTTCTACTAACTATATCTTTGCAATCCGATTATGTAAACCTTTAATATTTCAAATTGTGATTATTTGATCTAACACATTCAATAGTTTGAAATATCAAAGGTTTACGACATTGGGTTGCAAAGATAAAGGGATTAGAATTTCAGAGTGTGTGGCAAAGACTCAAATCCTTAATCCGTAGATTAACAAAAGATCTGAGCTGAGAACTTTAGAATAGGTTACCATTATTCCGGATTCTTGATCGCGCGCTTAATCTGAAGATCTATTGAGGACAGATTCCGACCAATGGCGCGCAAAATTTCAAGTTTCCCGGCTTCTGATTGAGTGTGCTGGATTCTACATATACGAAACATCGTTATGTTAAAAATACCTTTTTCTGGATTCAAACTAGAGATTAAGTTAATCTTGGAATTAACAAAAAGAATAGTTCTTAACTCAAATCTTATATTTTTTTTCTGTTTCAGAATGGGCCGGAGTATATATAAAGGATGAGGATGTAAAAAACTACATAACCCTGATATCCTACTCCTGGTACTGGTGGACTTATACTGTACACTTTCTAGGTTTATATTCATACACTTTCAGAGCCTGCAGACTTTTAAAAGAGTATTGTTTAACGAAACTCCCGAGTTGCCTTTTTGGGGTATATATATTTGCGTAGATTTATAAAAGGAAATAACAAATAAAAAGAGAATATAAAACTAACCATGAAATCAGTATTTCTTACACAAAAATGTTGATATCTAAAAAATGCCTGACCCTATCATGAAAATAGGTTTCCGATACTTGGTTTTATAAGGATACCCCATTATAAATTTGGACTCAGGGCTTAGGAGTATTTTTACATTTTTGATTATCTTCATCATTTGTTGGTCGTGTCGAATCCCTTTATTAATATAACAATGTTAGCTTTTTCTACACGGGCAGCCGTAATACATTTGAATTGACACTCAATAGGACTAGCCGGTGCAACAAGGTTGACGCGGTCAGACTTTAGGTTGAATTTACTTTTACTAAAGGGTGAGTGTTGCTTTTATTGTCGCCATTTTTCATAGTGCTCTGCAATAAACATTGAATTTTCAGTTAAGATTGGTGCACTTTGAAAAATATTAAGTTTTCATGCAAACATTTTCAATTTCATCCGTCCATAAACCATACCTAGAGACCAGTAGTTGCTTACAAAAAAGTTTACCGGATCCATTCAGCCAATGTTTGACGTTTATTAGACAGACAATCAAAGTATATGAAAATTAGGCTTTAAATCGAATGTTGGATGCAAATTTTTGAAATGTTCATCATTCATAAACCTTCCCTGGGATCGTGTGAGGTCCAACACTAAATTTGGGGCCGATCGGTTCAGCCGTTTTGACGTTTTATGGACACAAATGGACAGACAAACAGACAAGCAAAGTATATATAATACTAGGCTTGTAGGGCTCTTCGCGCCCAACTCTATTTCAAATTTTAATTGTGGCTTTATCAGTGAGCATCTTCTCTTTGTACAGTATAAAACAAACAAAAAATAGTTTGTGGATTTCATAATATTTTTTCAAAATTTTCAAAATTTTCAAAATTTCACAAAAATAAAAAGCTTTTAAATACAAATTTTTAAAATTTTGATCATTCATAAACCTTCCCTGGGGTCACGTGAGGTCCCACACAAAATTTGGGCTCGATCGGTTCAGCCGTTTTGACGTTTATTGGACACAAACAAACAGGCAAGCTAAATTTATATAGATACTAGGCTTTTAGGGCGCTTCGCGCCCATTTTTTATTTAAATTTTGAACATATTCTTTTTATTTAAAATTTTAAAACAAAGAAGAAAATTTTTTTGCGGATTTTCAAGAATTTAAATTTTTTTACAAAATTAAAAACCTTTCAAACACATTTTTTTTAAATTTTTATCATTCATAAACCTTCCTTGTGGTCACGTTATGTCCCACAAAAAATTTGGGCCCGATCGGTTCAGCCTTTTTGACGTTTATTGGTTACAAACAAACAGACAGACAAACAAGCCAAATTTATACATAGATAGATATAGATTACATATTTAAATGAAAAATTTTATTATGAATATAATATTCAGTTTACTCTCTTTGCCTGGAGGTGAGGATTTTTATATAATTTTATAACTCAAATTCAGATTTCAGAAATATAGTTTACCAGCCTTAGAGGGCGCTTCGCGCCCATCTTCTAAATTAATTGTGAACATGTTCTCTTTGTGTACATCGTAAAACAAAACAAAAATAATTCGCGGATTTTCACAAAAAATTTCGTGGATTTTCAAAATTTTAAAAAATTTAATGAAGATCGAATTTTGATGGAGACAAATATCTAAAATTTTGATCATTCATAAACCTTCCCTGGGGTCCCTAGATGTCCCACAAAAAATTTGGGCCCGATCGGTTCAGCCGTTTTGACGTTTATTGGATACAAACAGACAGACAGACAGACAAGTGAACAGATCGAGAAGAATAAAACGTATAAAATCTCATAGGTCTATGACATCTTATATCTTGTAAATACATAAGGATTAGAAAATTAGAGCGCAAGACAAGCCTAAAGTTTCTTCACTCACGCATATATATATATAATATTTATTTCACTAAAAATCAAAAATTTTCGCATTTTTCGCGAGCGAATAAAATGCGAAAAAATGCGTGAAAAAAACGTTCGCGAAACGATTTTTCCTTTTCGTTGGAAACCCTAATACACTGTCAAAATAAACAAAGCGCATTTTGTCATAGTGAAAATAGTGTTTTTGTTTTGTTGACTTAAAACTCTTACATAGTTGATATCTAGACCCTTCTCGGCTTCTATTGATAATAAAGAGACTGAAGGCGTTGTTTAAATTAACCCTCCATTAGTAAAATGATATTTCGGATTTATAAATGTACCTTTAAACCAGTATCTAATCAAAGATTTTGTATTTATACTTGATTCTAATCTCCGAGTCCGTGCCAGTGTAAATTCATTGACTAGACAACGGTTTAAGGGTCCTGTTGTGAATCATACATGCCATTCTATAAATGAAGCCACTTGAATTACGTTTAGAGTCCTAATAATATTGTTCAGGATTTTCCCAAAATATATTCACTTTTCCTCAACGATTTGCTCAAGCCAATGGCGCTACCTGAACAAGCGACTACAACCGAACCACAACCTCCATTTCAACTTCAAATCCACCCTCAAACACAACCCGCCACCCCTGAGGGTTTGGAGCTGACAGAAAATAGAAACCAACCCATTCAGATCAATAATATATTTATTTATGAACAAACCCTAAATACTAAAAATGATAGCTTTAATAATCTGTCAAGAAAACAAAATGTGCTCAGAAGAAATTCTGTTTAAAAAAGGACTAAACATCCTTAGTACATTAAAATTAAAACTCGCAAAAGAAGAAAATTTTGTAAAAATGTTTATTATTTTATTTCTAAACCCAGAAAGTCTTTGTCAACATAAGTATAAATATCAAATCAAATCAAATATTTGTCTGCAGTATTAATGAATTATAACAGTTATTAACAAAACATTAATACAGGGTGTCCCAAAAAACATGGGAATTCAGTGACGAATTCAAAATCGTCTTTGTTATGAATTAGCAATGTAATACCTAATTTCAAAAGCCATAATATTATTATGTCTGCTAGAGTTTATTTTTCTCAGTAGGTATCATTGTAAAATTAAAGAATTATTTTAAAAAACAATATCGAATTCGTCACTGAATTTCCATGTTTATTGGGACACCCTGTACACTAAACATATGTAAAACTACTGCAGCAGGAGAGCTTAGAGCTTAGTGCTGTCTTCACAAATCTCTCCTTTGATCCTTAAGATGAAAGTAATTTTTTAATACATTTTTTATAAATCTAATTATTCCTTTTAAATTACGAGTTTCCTAAGACTTAATGGCAACATACAACAAAGTTTAACACCGCCCTCGGAAGGTTGATTCTTCAAAATCTTTTTTTTCTTTATATAAGATTCACTTTAGATGTTTCAAAGGATAAAAGTATTTTGTATGTATATTTTCTTCTTCCTTCCATTAGTCAACATTGTAATGTTTTTTTGGGACACACTGTATATTAGTCTATTATATAGATTAATTACTTTGATGAAATTAATATAGCTGTAGTTGGAATTCGAATAATTTGTTGTAACCTTATATTATGCATCATATGTTTCTCATAGAAACTAGAACCTATGTTTAAAATGCAAGATACGTATGTTTATTTATTGTATAAAAGTAATTGTGAAGTTAACAATAAAAATGGTTTTCTACTTATTTTTATAAATATACAGAGTAAATATTTTTTATATGAGTAAATTTTTTATTGAGATTATATACAGAGCGTGCCATATTATTTTGGATTATCTCCAAGGATGCCAAAACAATAGTCTAGCATTTTCTGCAGTTTTTGGGAGAAATGTAAACACAAGTAGTGCCAAGGTACTGATGCAAGGAAAGTTATTTTAGAGGTGTACGCATTTTTTGTACTGCAGTGTACAGTCTTTGTGCGGAAAAATAAACACAAGACGGATGTCACAGCCTGACATGGAATCCATTTTCACAAAAATAGTCTATAAAATATTCTGTTCATAGGAAACTATTATGTGAATTTTCCAAATTAATTAAAATTAAATGCTTTTAACCTCCTCGGATACTAAACGAACACTGATGCATCTATTATTGTTTACAAATTCCGCCCAGCTAGAGAACTGGTTTCAATATGAACGCAGAGTAAACGCAACTGCAATTAACTTTCCTTGCATTAGTACCTTGTCACAACTTCCCCGAGACAACTTCCCCAACAGCAATTTCCCCAACAGCCAAGTTCCCCAATAACTAATTTCCCCAGCAGAAACTTGCTCAACAATAATTTCCGCTTGCATTAAAAGCAGCTCAACTTCCCTAACAACAGTTTCCCCATTTAAACATTATTCCAATGAACAAATGCGCAATTTGAAGATAAAAATTATCAACTTTTTAATTAATTAATTAGGTTAAGAAAATTTCCGTGCAAGCGCTGCAGCTAGGATGGGGTATAGGGCCATGCTCTGCGGCCTCTTAAATTTTGAATGCTGATGTTAGCTAATTATTTCACGCTTCTTATTAAGCAATTTTCTATACATTTTGCAACTGTAATAGCCTGTTCTAGCCAAAGCGCTCGGTCCAGAAATTGTCTTAATTCAGCCTAACCCAAAATAATTTGAGAGACATTTTAGAGGCCTCTACGCTCGGCCCCTTGCTCATCATAGCCGCAGCGCTCAGTCTAAAAATTGTCTTAACCCGACCTGACCCAAAATAATGTGAGAGATAATGCTCGACCAGATATTGAGAATTCGGTTATTTTGTATTGTCTGTAAAGTTGGTAAAAAAGGTTAATTTATTTCATTTTATTGAAGAGTTTTACTGCATTGGGAAAATTGTTGTTGGGGAAGTTGCTGTTAAACTTAATTTGTAGATATCTAAATACTGCACATTAGTTGAAACAGACTCTTGAACGATTACCAAGCAAGAGTAATTGTTCCTCGTTTCGCGAACGTGAAGCCCCTAAGATCTTGTCCAAGTTGAGACATTGATAGTAAAGTGACATCTAGTTATACCTGGATTGATACGGGTTTGAGAAACCCTTATGGAGTAGGGCATTTTAAATTCTTTCATATTTTCATTGTTTTTGAAAATTTGTATACTTTATGCATAAATAAATGAGTCTCAAAACAAACATATATTTTCGGAACATCGAAAAAAAAACGTAGAAATAAACTTGTTTTCGTGTCAACAAAGACACCGAGTTTATGTGAACAAATTGTTTTGGATAATGTGTATTGGACCTATATAGTTTTGTGTTTCTGTTGGTTCTGACAACAAAGGTGTTAATTTTTTGCTACAAATCTGATTTTCTCCAAACCCTTTTATCTTTGCAACCAAATGTAGTTTAGACCTTAAACATTTCAAACTATGGTTAAATAATCTAGTTTGTTATATCAAAGGTTTCCTCCATCAGTATTAAATTCATTCATTCATTCATATTTTTATTCAACTACAAAGCATAAGATATTACAAATAAGCAATCACAATTTACTAAGCAGTTTTGACCCGCCTAACCAGGGTTGGTTGTTTTGAGTGGTTGGCCCGAAGTTAATTAACGATACTGAATATAATTGGTTACACATATCAAGATATGTTTTGGATAGGTAAGGAGTTGAGTTGATTGGAAGGAAGGAGATTGTCAGGTGATCTGTGGCAGGGTGAGATCAGAGGGATTTTTATGTAGAGACAAATTAAAATGGAATTAAAATTGAGGTTTGTGGCAAAAACTCATTCCTTTGGCCAAATAACATATAAATAATATGTTGAGTCCAAATTAAACTAAAATTTCAAGATTTTAAAATTATATATATTCTATTCGGAGTTTCTGGTACGACATTTTGACTTCTTAACTCATCTGATTTTCAATTAGCACAAAGAAAATAGATAAGCAAACTTAATTATTTTGTTGAATACAATAATAATTAGTAATAATTATTAATAAAATAATAAGGTTTATTGCTAAATCTTATATATATATAAACATTTGTTTACAATTTTATAAAAAAAATTATTTCCTTCTTTTTCATAGCAATAGGACATAACTAGCAAAGCAAGTAAAATCAAGTATTTTTTGTTGATAGCTCTTCAGAAAAAGTATAGTTGTATTTGGTTGTATTTGAAAACTACATAGATAAACCAATGTAGATTATAAATACACCAAGTGTGATATGGTCCACCCTGTGTCATCTCTAAGTCTACCATCTACCTCCCTTTGGCCTCTTCCTTTCTCTTCTCTCTCTCCTCTCTCTCTCTGTTTAACAGCGGATCCACCAATGCCAGTTCCCGGCTTCAAACATACACACAAATATTATGCAAACCCTGCTTACAGTGTATACCATACTTCCCAAGTTCCCATTCAGTCGTCCAGTAGACTATATAGTGGAGTTATAGTGTACATGCCTTGGTATAATATAAATTTACAGTGTTCTCTGCACACCATCTATACTATTACTGTACAATGGATACACGGTATACGATTCATGCACTATAGTGTACATGTTGTACAGTGATTCTCATACATATAATATATATTTATAAATTATATGTATACAATGTTTATATTGTATACCAAGTATATATCTACATACATCTTGGACTTAAAAGTAAGCACTGGTGACATTGTAATATAATAACTTTTCTTAAGTTATTTATGTACGTTGTACATTTAATAACTGGATAACTTGCACCGTTTACGTTGTACATTTAATAACTGGATAACTTGCACCGTTTACGTTGTACATTTAATAACTGGATAACTTGCACAGTGTACATTGGATGTAATCAAATGTATTCTGTTTTCCAAATAACGGCAAAGCTTAAAAATAAAGATTTCTATAACTTTATTAAGTTTTCAAGTTTAAAAGTGTGTTTTAACTTAACTACAGCCCATTAACAAAGTACAGTTATCGTTTACTATGAATGATAATAAATGCATATGTACAGTATTTGTGTTGTACACAATATACATACATGGATTTAGTGTTTTATATATATCTGTATATTCTATTTTATTTACGTTTCAGAAAGAAAATGTCTTAAAAATATAATTTTCAAAATTTAGACATTTTTTTTGATGTCGCAAAGGTTGATTATTTGAGCGTGTTTATTGTTAATGAGTTTAGAAGATAAAATCATGTACAAATCAAAAAGTGGAGGAGCGCCCTCTGACTCTCAAGCTAAAGAGAAGTAAGTAGAAATTTTTGAATTAATATGAAACAATATTTGTAAAACTAGCGACAATAACATGCATATTAGATGAAATTTGTTAATCCCTGTATACAGCTGTAACTATAGTTTAGATATTGATCTTCCAACTAAATCGATTTTTCTTCTTCTCTCTTTAAAGCTACACACGTACTCACAACATACAGAGAGACCCTATTTTTATCATTTAAATAAAAGAAATTAAAATTTTATTAACTTTTCCCTTGTGTTTAAATAGTGTCAGTTTTCAAGAATATAATTCTGAATATTATAATTCACACCGAGCGGGAAACTTTTGGTGAATATCCACATTAATGCTTGATCTCCTCTTTTCCTTAATCTCCAGATTAAATAATGCTTGTTCTCTTCTTGTTATTAATCTCCAGATTAATTAACAGATCGGGAATAAGAAAATCCCATTCTAAAGTTCCCAGCTCCGGACTAAGATTCTCGGACTTCTATTTAAATTCTATGTATAAATGGCGTAAAAATGGTGTTATATAGGTCAAATTGTGATCGAAAGTCATATTTCACTGGGATAAGGACCGTTACGTTATATCCGCGTGATCTATCAAGATTTACTCTTTGCTATTTGTAGATTTTAGATATTCTAATATCCAAACTTACCCTCTTTTTAGAACATGTGTTAAACATTGAGCAAAACCATACATCAGTGCTTGGGGTTTGGATCCGTTAGATCCACAACATTTTGGCTTTCTGGATCCGGATCCGCAAAAATCTGCGGATCCACGGAGATGGATCCAAAGAGCAAAATATCAATCTATAACTGCGAGAAAAAAAATTTTCTCTTGAAAACCTCAAATCTGAACTGTTAAAAAAAGAGATTATCAAAACTTTTCTTATCGCTGAATGGTTCATTAGTTTAAGCATTGAAATAGGCGTAAAAAGAAGAAAATTTATTTAGAATTTTTCTTTTGTTAAAATAATCAGAAAAGCTTATAGAAAAGAACTGAGTTTTTGCAACCAACTCTTATTTTTATAATTCCTATATCATTGAAACCTGAACGTATGACTTTTGAAATTTCAAACTTCGATTATTTGATTGCACATAATTCATAGTTTTAACTATCTAAAGTCTACGGCATTTGGGTGCAAAGATCAGTTTGAAATTCTCAAATACCATAAATATGTACATTATATATAAAAAGTTAAAATCTTTGTTTGTTTGTTTGTATGTCCGATTATAACTTATATGAACCCCTTGACCGATTTGCCTCAACTTTTTATCGGAGAACTCGGGAGAACCATTGGAATGTTCTATGCTTATGAATATGAATATTTGCTACATATGTGATATATAATATGTTTTGTATTAAGGCTTGCTCTGTATGTATATGAATATTTGCTACATGTGGGATATATGTTTTGTATTAAGGCTTGCTCTGTATGTATATGAATATTTGCTACATGTGGGATATATAATATGTATTGTATTAAGGCTTGCTCTGTATGTATATGAATATTTGCTACATGTGGGATATATTTAAGGCTTGCTCTGTATGTATATAAATATTTGCTACATGTGAGATATATAATATGTATTGTATTAAGGCTTGCTCTGTATGAATATGAATATTTGCTACATGTGGGATATATAATATGTATTAAACAAGGCTTCCTCTGTATGAATATGAATATTTGCTACATGTGGGATGTATAATATGTATTGTATTAAGGCTTGCTCTGTATGTATATGAATATTTGCTACATGTGAGATATACAATATGTATTAAATAAGGCTTCCTCTGTATGAATATGAATATTTGCTACATGTGGGATATATAATATGTATTGTATTAAGGCTTGCTCTGTATGTATATGAATATTTGCTACATGTGAGATATATAATATGTATTAAATAAGGCTTCCTCTGTATGAATATGAATATTTGCTACATGTGGGATATATAATATGTATTGTATTAAGGCTTGCTCTGTTTGAATATGAATATTTGCTACATGTGAGATATATTATATGTATTGTATTAAGGCTTGCTCTGTATGTATATGAATATTTGCTACACGTTGGAGCACAAAAAGCAGCGCAAACATTCCTAAATGAGGTATTTTTATATTTTAAGTTTTTTGTTTGAATTCATATTATCGATATCAATGGAAAGAATTAATATTACAAAATGATGAGAAATCAAAATAAAACAAAGTGATAAAAGTTAAAGTGCAAAGGAACTGATTACTTGCCACAAACTATAAATTTCTACTCCGCATATCTTTGCAACCCGATGATATATACTTCTGATATTATAAGCTTTGATCATTTTTATACGCATATGTTTGACAAGGTCTACGTCATCAGGTTCTATAGATATAGATATTGTGGCGAGTAATCAGTTCCTTTCTATTAAATGAAAATTGAGTACAAACTTTATTAGATGCTTACACCAGTTCCAAAGTGGTTTTTCTCCGTGATGGGGGGGGGAGAGAAAACCTTTATTCTCAAATTTTTATTCCATGATTTTCTCAATTTTAGATCCGGTGGGAGAAAAACATTACTCTCGGCGAGCCTCCTGGTTTTCTGCACTCATGGTGGTGGTAAGTCATGTGTTTTCAGTTGGTTGATTTTTTTTGTTGTCGTTTTTGCAGAGCTTTTCTTTCAAGGTCAATAACAGGAGCAAATATTTTTTCAGATTTTTTATTAAAATCTTTTTCTTTTCTTTAAGCATGTCAAATTTTGACCCTGGCGAAGGATTACACAAAAAAACGACTCTAAAGACTCAAAAACGTGACTCAAAAAGACTCATAAACTATTTAAAAACGATGCAAAATCGAACATGCAACCATTGTTTTTAGATCGTTTTACAATTTTTTTTTAGGATAATATATTGAAAATTAATAAAAGCAAACTTTATCATAATACAGTTTTTAAATCTTGAAAGTTCAACTGAAATTTTTTTTCTGAAAAGATCCAAATGATTAACAACACACTATGGTGCTGGGTTATAGATTGGTCATTTCTGATTCAGAGTTTCTAAATTCTCATGCTAATTAAAATAGATCCCAAAACTAGCCCGCAGAGAAACCACATTTTTTTGTCAAAATAATTTCAATGAATTCAGATATAATCTGATTAATATGTTTAGTGTATTCTGGGATCTGTACTGTGCTGCTCCAGATACAGTCTGATTGATATGTTTAGTGTATTCTGGGATCTGTACTGTGCTGCTCCAGATACAGTCTGATTGATATGTTTAGTGTATTCTGGGATCT